TCATCAAGGTATATATCACTTCCCATCCCTCCAGGCAAAAGAACCCGACATTTTTTACAAAACAATCATTCTAACTAATATTACATATTTTTTAAATATATTTAACAAACGTAATAATAATTTTATTTTTTAATAAGTTAAAGTTAATTTAGATAGTTTATGAAAAAGTTAATTTAGTTTCAGTAAAAAAAATTAAAAAACTTAAATACACTTTAATTTAGTTTTCCTACTTATTAATTCAGATAATTAAATTTATTCCTTTCTATACTATATTAAATTTTTTTATATGAAAACTATTGCGTATTTTATTCTCAAATTATTCATTATAAAATAATTAAAACAAACAACTATTCTTCATAAAATTATCATTTTATTATTATTATTATTAATAATAAAAGGATAAACTTTTTAATATATTTCGATATTTTATATTTTTTTTGTTATACTATTTTTTCTTACACCTTTTTTTTATTTTTTAAAATATAAATTATAATAGTTTTTAACATCATTATATTTTTTTATAAACCATAAAATATTACATATAAATTTTTTTCTTAAAATATTTATAATTTAATAAATCCAAAAATAAATTTGAAAACTGATAAAAAAAAACTGAATAAAATTATTTTTTTATTAATTTTATATAAATTTGATTAATTCGATTTTTTTAATAATTAAAAGTTAACCTAAGAACTAAGATTATAATATATATTATTAAAATTAAAATATAAAATAATATTTATTATAAGTGAATAATTAGTTTTTTATAATTTAAAATATCCATTATTATTGTCATTATTTAAATTAGATATGAAAACATATAAAAATAAATTAAAATTATAGATATTCTCATTAATTATATATAATATTTTTATAATATAATTTTTATTATAGTATATTTAATAATTTTATAATCTTAATTTTGAATTATAGTATATTTAATAATTATGTTAAAATCTTAATTTTGAATTATTTTTTAATTGATGTAACTCTTTTATATTGTCTTTTTTTATTTAAAATATCTAAAAATTTCGATAGAACTGAATGTTAGAATTTTTAAGTATAGGAAAAAATTCTGAATTATTTTTAAATACAAAAGAAAAAAATATTTTTTTAATGTAAATATTCTTAATTCTGAATGTTTGTACATTTTTAATGTAAATATTTATATGCAATCATTCTATTTTTTTAATTAATATTATGTTTTTCTTTATTATTTTATTGAATTAAAACTCAAAGAAAAACAATATTTCATTGACATGTTAACTTAATGTCATAAAATATCAAATGCATCTATTGTTAACAAAAAAAATTATTATATATTATTGTTATCCTTTTGTGGAATGCATATATATATATATATATATATATATATATATATATATATATATATACATGAAACATTATTAATAATCAGAATGCATACTTGTGTTAGTACTGTGTGTGGATTTGAGAAATTTCTGTGTGACATGTCTATCACTGGTAGTGTTTGATGTTGTTGGTGGGGAAGCCAAGCCACTGAAAATGCAGTATAAAAAAAAGTGCTTCTTACCCATCAATCATCACCATCATTATTATGTAAATTCAATAATATCATTCATTTCTATTACACCTTTCTCTTCTTTAGTGCTTTAGGGTTGTTGGGGTCTTTTTTTTTTTTTTTTTTTTTAAATTGTCATTTTACATTATTATGTTTCATAAGGATTTTTTTTAACAGAGATTCTTTTAGGTCTTTTTACCTTTTTATAAAAAATGTACCTGTTTAATATCATAAAAATATTAATTGCATTCAACAATTGGTATATAAAAAATGTTATTTATTTAAAAGGATATTATATAAAAAGTTGAAAAAATGTTAATAAAATATACCATGAGACAAAATTGAAAAGATTCGTTTCCAAATAATGTCATGACAAGCTTTACCAGTTGTACAACAGAGTTTTTGTTTTAATTTTAATCTTATAAAGAATTATTACAAATAGGTGTCATCAGATAATTTCTTTACATTCTCAACGTTTTATTCTAAAATATTTTTAATTGACTTTTAAAATGCTAATGTGAAAAATTTAGTTCAACTTATATTTTTACTAATCATATCTTAAGTTAAAGTTATTAACATATTACTGTTATAAAAATTATAGTCTTTTTATTATATTTTTTTAATTTCCTAGTGTTAAACTATGAAGTTGCATGTGTATTTAAATTCTGTATCAATATTAATCATTATGTCTTATGATAGATAATTCATCTAATTTTAAAAAAATAAATATTAAGTAACATTGAAAAAAAAAGTGAAGTACACTCAAACAACCTTTTTAAAACTAACTAGTATAAGTTAATTTTTAGTCAACGAGGTTGTACTATTTTATTATTCTGTTATAATTTTTTTTAAATATTAAATGAAATACACGCATATTCAATATTTCGTAAAACTTAAATATTTTCAATATTATATAAAAATAAGATGTTATAAAAAACTAAAAGTATTATTTTTTAATTTGAAATAACTTTTTAGCCATAGTCAAATCCACATACTATCATAGTTTCAAATTATCTATAGTTACAGTTTTTTTTTTTGGCAAAATTAGTAATATTTTCAGTTTACTATATACTATTTTTTTTTCCGAGTTTGCCATTCACATACATTAAAATATTAAGTGATGAAATTCGACAATTATGTCATTCTTTATTTAATATATCTATTGATAATGTAAGGTTATTTTAATAAAATCGTAATCCTAAACACTATTTTTATTTTATGATCAAATAGTTGTTTAATTTTATTTCCTACTTCTTTCTATCTTAATTTTACACCATAAACCGATCCGTAAATTAATGAAAGATCACAAGAGACATTAGTATGGAATAAAAAATATATATTTAATGTGTTTTTAACCTTTACAAAGACAAAAAAAAAATCCAACATTTTGACAATTTTTTAAAATAAATGCATTTATAATGTATAATAGGAATAATGAGCATTAACAAATGTTTTATGTATAAAAAGAAAACTAATTTACATATTTTTTAAAAATTACACTAAATTTTACTAATTTTTTAATATTTAAAAAAATACATATCATGATAATATAACGAGATATTCAAAGTTAGAGTAGTTTAAAAATATAATTAAATTATGTTTTATTTATACACATTGTTATTTTGAGTATGTAAAGTATTGACATTTGGTGGCTAACTAAAAAAAGTATGGTTGTGTAGTAAATTGTTATAACAATTGTAGAGTAGTTGATAGCATAAATGCATTTTTAATGGTCGATAGCAATGATAATGATGAGACAGAAGAATTGAAGAGAAGAGTTTTCATTTTCCAATAAAAGACCCCTTAAATATTGTGATGAACAAGTGAAATTAAACACAAAATTACATAATTTTGTTTTCTTTTGCATCGAAATGGTCAAACATCATTTATGTTCATAAATAGCCAAGACAACCCCTCCAAGAAGGAGATGCAAAGTACAACATTTGCATGCTCATAGTTAGCTGTCACATGCTAGTAAATGGTGAATCGACTCTTAAATGCTGTAATAAATTCTCTGATGCTTAAAAACAAGGGAAAAATATTTATTACACTACATTTATTTCAAATTTAAGAGTACATATTTTTAAAGGACTAATCCTAACACCTCATAAATATGTCACGCTCATAACAATCATAATTAGTTTATTTTGGATTTTTAAAACTAGACTTTTTTTTTTTAATCTTTCTAATGATGTAAGAGTGTTATTAGTCATGAGCCAAAATTTTACATATTTGAAGTAAACATTAATAGATTCAAAATATTTGATATAAAATATATTTGTTTAAGATTATATTTATATTGAAAATGATAACATCTTTTGATTTTTATAATTTTAAATAATATATTTTTTATTACATATATATTCAATTTTTAAATCAACACTTGCAAACCATATATTTTATAACGTATGGTTGCATGATATGCATTGAATAACATGTTAAAATATACACAACATTTTAAATAATTAATACAAAATGTTATTTAAATGTCCTAACCTAGTTATAGTTAATGGTAACAAACAACACTCATACAAAATTAAAATGAATCCTTGTTATATCAAAATCAAACATTATACGAATTCGGATACATCAAAATTGGGAATGGTGTACCACCAGTAGAGAGATATAGAGCAAAATTAACTTTCTAATTTAACTGCCGAATTTGAAAAATCCAGCTTATGACAGCAAAGTTTATTTGGCACGTAGCTGCTTACTGAATATCCACCTGTTCTTGTGCTCTTATCATTGTATATCGTGTATACAGAATTTTAGTCTTCTCCATGTCTGATACAAATACAAAAATAATAACCATTATATTTAAATTCCTTTAAAATTATAATAATATAATATTTTTACAAAATCAAATCATTTCTGGAAACGAGTTTCTTCTGATGTATACAGAATATTAACGCAGTTAATAGGAGGCGCGTATGAGCGTTTTGGATGCGTGAACCACTATGTCTATATAAATACACGCATTCGAATTATATTTTGTAAAATTGTGAAAAAAGGAAATAGAAATTGATGAATAGTGACACAGATTGCAAAAGAAAAAGTGAAAAAAAAAAGAAAACAAAATTCCTTGCTTAACAGCAGCTGCCAATGTGTTAAAACCAGACACGTCCTCTTCTCTTTTTCAGAGAGAAAAAAAAAAAGAAAAGAAATGGAGACAGAGACAGTGATAAATGAATAAATGAAAAATGAATATAGTATAAGTAAGTCATAGATTTCTCTTTCTCAGGACTCCACTTCTCCCTTTCTCTCTCTGGAACTTCACCCCACCTGGTTCCAGAGAAAACCGCGTCCTCTTTTAAACGCACGCACAAACAGAAGCAAAGAAAGAAAGAAAAACGGAGAACTCAAGAACACCACAAGAAATTTCAACAATGCCGATTTTTCTCTGAGACTCTTCTATTTTTTTCCCACCAAGAACCCGTTTTGCCACCGACCCATTACTCCAATGCTTCCCCTTCGACTAAGCGCAGTCGTTTCCTCCCTCATTCTCTGCTTCCTATTTCCCCCCTTTTTCTGCCTCGGAATCCGCTCCTTTCCGACAACCGAAGACGACAGCGCGTTCTTCCAGTATGCCGAGGCGCCGGAATACCGAAACGGGGCGGGCTGCCCCGTTTCATTGACCCGCAACGCTCTCCCCTCGTGCGACCCGTCTCTGGTCCACATAGCCATGACCCTCGACTCCGGCTACCTCCGCGGCTCAATCGCCGCCGTGCACTCCGTTCTCCGCCACTCCTCGTGCCCGGAAAGCGTGTTCTTCCATTTCGTCGCGGCGGAGTTCGACCCGGCAAGCCCCCGGGTCCTGACCCGCCTAGTTCGGTCCATCTTCCCCTCTTTGAACTTCAAAGTTTACATCTTCAGAGAAGACACGGTGATAAACCTGATCTCTTCTTCAATCCGACAAGCCTTGGAAAACCCGTTGAACTACGCGCGCAACTACCTCGGTGACATGCTGGACACGTGCGTGGACCGCGTGATCTACCTGGACTCCGACGTGGTGGTGGTCGACGACGTGAGGAAGCTGTGGCGCGTGCCACTCGCGGACGCGCGCGTGATCGGCGCGCCCGAGTATTGCCACGCGAACTTCACAAAGTACTTCACCGACGAGTTCTGGAACGACCCTTTACTCTCTCGCGTTTTCGCTTCTCGAAAGCCTTGTTATTTCAACACTGGGGTGATGGTGATGGATTTGGTGCGGTGGAGGGAGGGGAACTACAGGAAGAGGATTGAGAACTGGATGGAACTGCAGAGAAAGAAGAGGATTTATGAGTTGGGTTCTTTGCCTCCTTTTTTGCTTGTTTTTGCAGGGAATGTCGAAGCCATTGATCATAGGTGGAACCAGCATGGGCTTGGTGGGGATAACGTTAATGGGGTGTGTAGGTCTTTGCATCCTGGTCCTGTTAGTTTGTTACATTGGAGTGGAAAGGGGAAGCCTTGGGTGAGGCTTGATGAGAAGAAACCTTGTCCGTTGGATCGTCTTTGGGAGCCTTATGATTTGTATAAACCCAAACAAGTGAGGGATAGGGTGAGAGATCAGAACTGGGGGTTCTCTTCTATTTGGGTTGGCTACGCTCATGATTTGTTATAATGTTGTGATGATGATGATGATGATGGTGCCGGTGATTCTTTGGTACATTTGTTGTTCAGAGATTCTTTCTTAGCAGTGTACAGAACAGATTGAGTAGAAGAGATTGATTGGAGTTCTTCATTCTTTCTGTAGAATTTTTCTCTCTTTTTTTTAAGGCGTTTAAATTCTTGTGCTTTACCTAATATGAAATTTCGATTCTTTTTCTGCTGATGGGGGGTTCCATTGGAACGATTTTGGTGGGGGGGTTCAGTTCTTTGTATGGGACCATTGATTGTAAGTGCCAAACAAAGTGCAGAATAACAGACACTTGTTCATTGTTTTATTTGGATTCGGTTTCTATCACCCTTTGTTTCCATTCCTATCTGTGACTATTACACATTCAATGGTGCAGTGAGGTCACCATTAGACATTGAATGATGAAGTGAGGTTTTCATTTGGTCTTACATGTACCGAAGTTAAATTTTGCTCTTCATTTTAAACATTTTCCAACACTGTAAAACATGTTCAATCTTGTCATTTATAAAGCAAAATTTAAAGTGAGGATAAACAAAGGAAGATAATAAATAAAAAAAATTGGCACTCGTCATATTATGATTGAGATTTGATCACGGAATGAATATGAATTAAGGGTAAAGTGCACATGAAAGGGGTTTTAAGTGCTAGTAGGTTGGCTCACGGTTGTTTCCTTTGCCATGAGGAAACCGAAATGATGCCTAACCATAGTGATCGTAGTTTTCACTTATCAGCAACTTTAGACCCCACCACACAGCTCATGTTATTTGGAAAGTTCTTCGCGTAAGGATAAAATCATTGCAATTTCATCTTGACTCGCAATTTTCTTCACAGGCGTCATGTCACAGACTCTTCTGAAGACGTCGACGAGAATCCAAGGAACGCATTGCTAGGAATTTGTATAGGAATAACAATAATGCCAAATTATTGGTTTATATTATACTTTACAGTATTATGCTATTTTTCTTTTCATTTCCTTTTTATGTGCCATGTGTCCAACATGAAGTCATGCCTTGCTATTCCGGTTTACCTTAGTTGACCACATGAGGTGTACCGTTATAATGTCTGTTTCAAATGAAATTAAGAAATTTCGCGTTTGCTTACGGAATTAAACTATTGGGAAAAAGGGATCATTATTAATATTCTCAGTGCCAATTGTCAATTGCATTATTTGCAACATGTTCCACAAAAATGAATTTTATAAAAACTACCATAGAGGAACAAAAAGTGAAACAGTTGTTGCAGTGGTATAAATAGGAAAACAAATTTGCTTTACTTGGAATTTACCACAGAACATCCACTTTTTCTGCACATTGTTTAGTGTATTAGAGCTATATATTTCCCCAATTCAAATCTTAATGCCAAATGTGAGTGGTTCTTTAATTTTATTAGGAGATACAAATAAGAAAAATCTCACATTGAAAGCTCTAGCAGCATAATGTGCTGCAAGAATATCACGTATTGGAGGAAAGAAAAAATTGAACATTAAAATTCGGAGTTCAAAACATGTTGGCAATTGCCCATTGCATTGTTTTCGTCATGTCTGCAGAAAAAAAATGACATGAAAGGACTATGATTGAGGAACAGAAATGTAAAGTAGATGCTGTAGTAGAATAAACAGAAATAACTGTTGCCATGAAAGTATTCATAAGGGGTTTGAATTTATAGACACTCCCTTTTTCATCAACCATCCAAAAAAGTGCCAGCTATATGAACTATGTCAACAAATTAAAAACAGGAAAAGAATCCAATCAAAGAGAGGAAAAAAAGGAGAAGCATACTTCACTCCACGATAATATTCAATACATGACTCAGATCAACCATCTGATTTTTAATTTGGTTATTAAACATTTTATGTAACATGACGGTTTGGATGTCTTTTTATCATTTTTAAATACGCAATCTGACATTTTAAATAAACCAATCTAACACCATGTTCTCACACCTAGAATCCCAAGCAAAATGCTAGAAGAAATTAAGAATATGATAACAATAATTGGATCACCTCCATTGCCACCACAATGAATCAATCATCATTCAAGGTTTCTGCGAATAGTTTCCACTTCTCTGCCCGTAATTTGGAAAGCCTTCTTAAGAATTTCATCAATTATAGGAGGCTTGCTAGCGAATGTTGCAAGTGATACAATTTGTGAACCTGGGTTCTGGCTATTTAGACCAGAAAGGGCTAGTGCTGGTTCCCTTGAGTCACGATTGAACAAGAAATGAACCAGGCCCTTTGGGAACACAAATGACTCACCGGGCTTCAGGTTCTGGGTAAACACACGGTTACTTGTGTCAACAAAGCCCACAAGAAGCTGTCCCTTGAGACAAGTGGTAACTTCTGAGGCCCGTGGATGCGAGTGAGGTGGCACGATCCCATTGCCAGCGATATCAACCCGGGCTAGTACCAGGCCCAGTGTGTTAAGCCCAGGAAGATTAACAGTATTGGTGGCTGTGACACTGAAGCCGAATTGGTTACTAGTGTTACCACTCTTAGACAAAGCAGATGTTACAAAGTGCGACGGGGAAACTTTGTCTGGGTTGATACAAGGCACCCCATTAATGAAAAATTCACCTTTGTTATCAGCAACACAGTAATCTTGAAGTGGGTCAGGGTCGGGTCTGGATTGGCCCAATAGAAGGGATAGGGTGAAGAAAAGTAAAGGAAAATGGGTTCTCATTTTTGCTACAATTGAGGAAACAAGTCAAAGGACAATAATATTTTATGTGCTACTATTGTAGAGTGGGTTATAGCAGCATGAGCCAAATTGTATATATACTTGTACAAGAGAAAGATAGAGCAGGTGGTGGATGTTGATATTGATTTAACTTCCATGTGTATTGTGGGGGCTGGTGGTGATTGAGTAGCTTAAGAGCATAGAATGAGGGAAAGAAAGGAAAAACTTAAAGTAAATTTGATGAAATCATATTAAGCCACACAAGGGGGTGATGTATACGTTCTATTTGACTGAAAATGATTTTTGATTTTGATTAATCAACATGCTTTATGCTGTGCTTACCATTCCCAGGCCGAATCCTTTGTTGCTAAGTTCATTCTTTAATTGGGCTCGGGCCCATTTTGGACCAGCGCTCTGTAAATAGAAACGGTGTCGTTTGAGGTAGTAGGGACTAATACGACATCGTTTTTTGTTGTTATTGGAGGTTGTAGGGACTAGCACCTTATATTATATTATTAAATTTTTAGTTCAGCCAATTCAATCATGGCCCACAACTAGCCAAAATGACACATATTATGATAAATTTTAAGACCCTTCACATGCAAACTTTCCACACGCGGCGCAAGAGTTCAGCTTTTGTCGATGTGGGCCTTCCTTCCTTGCCTTGCATTACATTGCATGGTTGATCTCATCTAAGTAGCTAACCATCACTGCATTGGGGTTATTGGGTCTCTTTCTTTGAACCATCTAGTATAGAGATATTCGTTAGTTTAGTGGAAGGAAGAAAAATTTAAGTATGGTTGTGACTTGACTTGTGATCTCTTTGTTTTATTATTCAGTGCATGGTCAATTGAATCTATATAATTTGAGTAATTATTTGCTGAAAAGGGTATAGTATCTTTTTGTTCTTTTTTTTACTTTGTACAAGGTTTTCCCTTCATTATTCTATGCCCTTTCGTTGTGATCCCGGAAGTCTATTCCAAACTGATTCAACCTTGGCCCTCACTGGAAAGCAGTGGTACTTATTGGCATTAAAAGTTAAATCTTCTTTTAGGAATGGAATACCAAGTTGTGATATAGGAACCTCTAGTAACTTTGCACTTTGCTCTAATTTTTGCTTTTGAGGGATAATGGTTTTTTTTATGATTGGTTTTTTGGTCATAGGTGTTTCCTGAAGTACCACAAGCAGACAAAGGCTGCTGTTACTGTAGAAAAGTGAAGAACTAGATGTGAAAGAAAAAAAAAAATGAGAATTCTCTCACTCCAAATCCACATGCACATGTCCCTGCTATTCCCTTACTCATCATTTGCTGCAAATTATTTTAGACTCGTCTTTTTGTCCCATTGTGAGGACTCTTACTTCTGGTCTTTTCAGTGAGATATCCAGGAATGATTAGCCCCCAATTGCTTGTTTACAGGCCATACTGTGCATAGAGCTTCTGTGTCTTAGGGGTCGCGGCTAAGTAGTAATTTACTTCCATGGGTGAATTTCTTGTGGATGCAACAGTGTTTGAAGATAAGGTAAACTCATTTGTCATTAGGTTCTTTCAGATTAGAAATTGATTCTTTTTTATTAGCGTTATTGTTGCAAATCTGTCTTGCTCTCTGGTTGGATCACATCCAAATTTATAATTGTTCAAATCCTGTGCTTTTTTTGGTGTTGTTTGTGAGTTGTCTTCGTGTTGGTTGTCTGCAATTATGCACACAAGTTTTTGTTCTTTTCCCTGATATTGAAGCAGATGGGAGAAAGTGCCGCTTCCAATTCTTCTTTGCAAGTGTCTGTCTCCTTTGGGAGATTTGAGAATGATTCCTTGTCTTGGGAGAGATGGTCTTCTTTCTCTCCGAACAAGTACTTAGAGGAAGTTGAGAAGTGTGCTACACCTGGATCAGTGGCTCAGAAAAAAGCTTATTTTGAAGCCCATTACAAGAAGATTGCTGCCCGGAAAGCCGAATTGCTAGCTCAGGAGAAGCAAAGGGAGAAAGATTCTTTCAGATCAGAAGATCAAGATGGAATAGATCTGGGTGGTAACACTGATGCAGAACTTGATATATCCAACACTCAAGGTTTCGATGAAGGGGTTACGCAAGAAACCAGTTCTGTTGGTGAGATCCATAGGACCCATGTTAATGATTCTGAGGAGGAAGTTGCAGTTTCAAGAGATTACCAAAGTTCACCAGCTGAGGCGGAGACCAAGGAACTGGAAAGTAGATCCCATAGTCCCTTCCAGATGGAGGAACCTGAAGATGCATGCATGAAACAGGAAGAAAGTCTTAACATTGAAGCTGAAGATGTGAAGGAAATTTCCCACGTTGTGTACAGGGAGACAGGAAAGGCTTCAGAAGTTGAAGCAAAAGATGTGAAATTGGATCATACAAAGGAATCGAAGGTTTGATTTAATTCATATATCCATCAAATTCATGTTCTTTCTTAAGGGTTGGCTATTTGGTTACCCTGATTTTAATTTCTCTCCATTTTATTTGAACAGGTTACCGCTGTGAATAAGGGCAGCAATGCAGCCAAGACAAAGAAGAAATCAATGCTACCTACTTCTAAGGCATCCCAGAGTTCCACACCAAGAAGTTCAAAGCCTGCATCAACTCCTACCAAAACGGCAACCCCTGCTTCTTCAACTAAAAAGGGAAGTTCTCCATCTTTGACTAGGAGGCAAATTACTTCTAGAGGGGAGAGCAGAAAATTTGCTAACAAACCTTTGCACATGTCTCTGAGCTTGGCTCCAAGTAATCCTGATCCTGCTCCTCAAGCTACCATGAGGAGATCTTTAATCATGGAGAAAATGGGGGATAAGGACATAGTCAAACGGGCATTTAAGACATTCCAGAACAGTTTCAACCAGCCAAAAACTTCCGGTGAAGACAAATCTTTGATGAAGAAGCAGGTAATTGGAAAATCTTCATGAATAACTGTTCATTATCGAACAAATGTTGTTTTTATATAGTGCAAATAGTACTTTATAACTGTAGAAAATCATACTGATTTTAAAAATGTTTTCCTCTTTATTTCCTGGGCAGGTTCCTTCAAGGGGGACCGTGTCAAAGGTTTCAACATCTACAGTTTTGAGGAAAGAAAATGGACGGTAAAATTTTTAATCTGCACTGATAATGAATTTTCATTGCACAAGTTTGTTTTCCTTTATGTATTTTTCATGGTTCTTTTCTCTTTGTCTCTTTCATCCTATTATTACTAAGATTACCATTTTATGAGGTCATGTTTTTGTTGGTAGTCTTCTTTGGGAGAATTCTAAGCAAGGAAACTACATATATTGTAGAATAGAGGAGGAAACGCAGCAAGTTATTGTTATGCAAATTGATTCAAATATATTTTATGACTTATGATTTTGCCTAACAACATCTATTGTAATTTTTATTGAAATTTCTTAATTGAAATTTTCTGTATGTGACCCTCTAGAAGTTATTTTTGAATAGGCCAACTAAGGTTGAGCATGTGGATAAAAGTGGAAATGCTGTACGAACTACTTTGGGCCCGAAAAGTGACATCACATCAGAGAAAGGAAAAGAGGTAGGACTAGTTCTTGATGTTTGTCTATTACATTTCAGTGCCTGTAATAGGGAATATTCATAAGATTGTGAAAGTTCAACTAACCAGCTTATGCCTTTTCACCTTCTATTTTTTAATCAGTCTTCAAGAAAAATAGAGGAAAAATCTAATGCAAAAGAAGAAGGAAGAATGCGTCTTCAATCAAAAGTAAAGGTAAAGACACTCTTTCATGTTCCAAAATGTTTTTCTAGAAATGACTAGCATTTTCTACATTCCATCCTGTCTATAGCTTCACTTAAGTGTGTCTGCATATATTTAGTGAACTAGGAAAAGAAGAATACTGGACACACCTTCTTTTGAATATATTCTCTGCTATTAACTAATATTTATTGGAAATCACAAACTTATGAGTTAATAGTTTTTAATAAGATTTAAACAATAATAAAGTATGTTTTAAACTGTATTCCATCACTCATGGTTCTTAGATACTAATATGTAGAATGGGTAATTGATAAAAAAGGTGGAAACTGCTATTTTCATCCATAAATGGCTTTTCTGAACTCTGTATGCATCAAACACAGGAGGAAAAAGTGGCTGACATGAAAAGGCTAAAACATAATGTCAAAGGCACATCCACGCCAGCTGTTTACCGTGGTCAAAAAGTAGTAAAAAGTCGTCCAGAAAAGGTACAAGTTGTACATTTGATCTGATATATGTACCCTACATAAACCTTAGTTAATGTTTGTCGGCCGACTGTTTCTTGAATTCTTACCTTCTTTTTCACTTTGGGCTAATAGCTAATTATTTTTGTTCTTTATATTAAACCAATATGAAAAACTTGTATTGATTGCATTCTGTTTCTGGAGACACAGCTGTAAATTTCGAAAATAATAAAACTTAACTTTTAGTTGAAGCTGAAACTTGTGTTCACTGGAGTCTGGTGGTTGTTGACAAGAAAGGGAGATCTTTGTAATCTAGTTGTTTTGCTTGGCTGTAAAAATGAACCTGTTTCTTGCCAAATGAAATGAGCACTGTTGTTGATGGTCATACTAGAGGTGATAATTGAAGTTCTTGTTCACATTATACATTCTAATAGCATTCCTAGGAGTGTCACTAAGAATGGCTGGTATATTTTGTCAGGAATTAACCTCTACTATTTCCCGGCAAGCCATATAGATAATGTCCTTCCTTAGGTTTCCTAAATTCAACACAATTACATTCAGATATTAAATTCAGACAAAATCTAGGCGTTGAAAAGATGGCTTTTGGTTTTTTTCCTCAAAGATATTGAAGATTATGTAAATTAAATGAATTTTGAGGCATGATTTGTATTTTCCTGTAGAAAAACTTGGCACTGATTCTTTTTAGTGCACCTTACTTTTGGGAGCTCCATGAATACGACTAAGTTACTATTCCATTAACTGTTATTATGTCATTTTTGCTCATGCAGGGTGATGCTAAAAGTAAAATTTAGAATCCTCGGTGTGCCAGGAAATGATAAAGGTTAAGAGGAAGAAGAAGGAGAAAAGAGGTTAAATACACCAGTGTGTCAGGTAGACCTATATGCTCAGAGGAAATGTTTGTGGAAACAGTTCAATGCTATGATATTCATGTTTGGTAAGCAACAGTGGAGCAACCTCCCCATTAAATGGGAGCTTATGAACATTGTGAGGAGTTGGAGGAAGGAGTAGGCATCATTTATTGATGATAATTTTCTTCCTTGCACCCCTCCTAGGCTATATGTTGGTTAGGAAATAATATTGTATAATGTATGTAATGTAAGAAATGCATATATCTCTTGTCATTGGCTGCATCATTATCCTGCTTATCTACCCGGCCTAGGTCGGTGATTGATGTGGTTTTTAACGTGTTGTAGACCTTGTATCTCTAAGAAGCTAAGGTGACATAAACCTTCTCTAAAGTTCAACTAGCCCATCTCACCCATTCACATGCAATGATGCAAGAGTCTGTTATATTGGGAAATGATGTGAACATGACCTATAATAAGGGCTAGAGCAAGGGAAACAAAAGAAGCTCTTCAACAAGTATTGTTGATTGACCAAATTGTGTTTTGGATTAATCAATTAATGGATTTTAGTTTAGTTTTATTGCAAGTTGTAATAAGGGTCCAATTGAAAATTTAGTTATCAGTCTTTGGGAGACTAAGAGGGTACATAACTGATTGACTTTTGGATGCTACAATTTCAGTTACAATCAATCATTAAGTAGTTTTCAATTCTTAAGTTAATAAATCATTATTAGCATTTATTTTTCTTTAATGAATATTTGTAACTCTGATGACAAAACTTCTTTATAAGCTGAACCATTTTTATCAGAAATAACAAGTTGAGTTTTATTTTTAGAAATATTAGAGTTTATCTCTTTTATCTTAGTGAGAATGATTCTCCTAAGTTCTTAAGTAATTCAAGAACCCTTGGCTGTATCAAAGGACTTTCACATCTTTTGTGTGTTGCCTTCCTTGGAAAGAGTGATTCTTTCCTTCCATCTTCTTTCTAATTCCTAAATTTCTTACAAGGTTCTAACCTTAAAGATCCTAAATTACCCCTTGTAATTCATATCAGGAAACATGATTGAAGAATTTTCAGAATCAAGGAACAAGACTAATTAAGTGGGATACACAAAGCAAGAATAATTTCAGTATCAAGTTTGACATATGTTCTCTCCAATATACACTAATCAGAAATAAATATTGCTTGATATGCTACCCATACGTGGAAGAATTCTTATGCTAGCAACTTCAAAATTTGAACTTGTACATAGGCATAGTCTCTCCCTCTCTCTTAGCCTTTTTGTTTTTCTTATTATCCTTTCTTTTTCGCCCCTTTATTTTGTAGTTGAGAGTATAAAGGAGAAAAAACCTGTAGAACTGCGTACAGTTATGTAGTTGTCTAATAATACTTTTGCATGTACCCAAATGCATACATAGACAGAAAGGTTCAATTATCACTGAAAAGTTAAAACCACACAACCTTCATAATAAAGAGGAAATTTGCTAAAAGAAGCATTGCAGAAAAATTTGTCAACGGGAAGTCAATTTATGAGTGTTTTCTGACGCAACCAAAGAGTTATGCAGCTAAGATAGTAATGTCAAATTTGTCGTGTATTTTGCAGAAACAAATCTGATTGTCTTGATGAATTAAGCTAAAATAAAACCATTGAAGACAGGAATCATTTGTCCAACCTACTACATTGCTCTATTAGTTCAAGCGTATATGATTATGATCAGTTTACTTTCTGAGCAATCTAAGACACCTGATTTGGTGTCATATCTCTGATAAATAAAAGAAAATCCATTCGTTGAACTTTCAAATACAAAAGAAAATTAGAAGAAACGGAGCACGTTATGTGGTTGATGACAAAAGAATCCAAGATCCACATATATATACACGAGACTTAAAATGCTCAAAGAACGATAGTTCCCTGTACAAGTGACACGTTCATTTAGAGGTTAAAATTTGGAAAACTGATAACACTAAAAGAATGGTTTTAGCTTCTGAATATGCCAGCGAGAACTGGCCCTATCAATGCAAAAGAAAACTGCTTTCACAGTATTTCCAAACCTCCAATGGTTAGCAGTTGGCAGCACAAGATCCTCTCTTATGAGCCACCACAAACTGGGAGCTATCTCATTCATATTTTGAATGAAACAAAGCAAGTAATGTCGCCATTTTGAGCTCTGACTTCTAGCACTTCAGCTCCATTATGTAAATGGTCCAAAAGAAGAGGTTGAATGTGTTTGCAAATCCTAGACTTCCATGACCTGCAATATTAAACCTCCAAAGTCCTTGCGCCGGTACCTCTGCAGACTATTACAGTGCTGTACTAAATAACCTTAGGTGTCTTTCTCTTCTGCATGTTTCGAGCAATCTCAATGCATGCTTGATCAACCATTCCCAGAAAATCCTTAACTATGACAAATAGATATAGAGGGTGTTCTGCGCTATCCTTTGAAGCTCCTCCTTGATAATAATCTGTTGTTCTTTTCACAATTTGCATTACCCTTGTTTGCTCTTCCCTGACTAATCTCAATTCTTCCTCTGCACTTTCAAGAAAACGGTTCATTTCTCTCACAAAGTTCCCTCCTTTGTCATTTCCACACCGGGAAACAAGTTCTCTAATCTCAACAATCCTGGCTGAGAGTGCTGAGATTGAAGCAAGAAAACTGTTGTAATCTGTAACCGCAGCTTTCTTCACGTTGGAAAATTCAGAACTGATCCCTCCCACAACTGGCAATCCTAGTGTTATATATTCCCTTTTTCTTTGTTCATTTGAACCAGAAGAGTTTTGAGAGTCTCCGCTACTGTTACTGTCCCTACTGCTACTACGACTCAAACTGCGATTGCGACTTAGAACAGCACGTTTTCCTTCAGAACGAACAACTTCTTCAACAACAAAGTGAAGCAATGTGGTTTTTCCATCAGTGCTCTTGACATCAGCGAGCTTTCTTAGAGAAGCCAAGTTGAAAGCTTGAGCATTACCCCTGTGAGTGCCTGCATTCATGCGATTTCCAGCCTTGAGCACTGCTTCAAGAAGTTTCACAAACATTCCTTGGTTTCGAAGCTCCTTGCACCCGATCTCAAGGGTCTGCAGAAACTCCTTGATCTCTAGAATCTCGGAGTCATAATTCAACCTGAATAGCAAAGCATTCAATCGCTTAAATGCTGAAGGAACAGCTTTGAGAATGTGACGTAGGAAAGATTCAGCTTCAGCAAGTTTTGAAGGGTCTCCTTCATATGCAAGTATAAGTGATTGCTCTTCTTCTGTTGGGGCTATTCTACCAAGCTTTTCAATGGTCTCTATGTTAAGGCCTTGACCATCAATGAGTGCGTCAATAATCTCCTTACGAGAGATTGCCAGAGATTTCAAAACAATAGCAACGTTTTGTGATTTTCTTGGGTCAAGAAGGAAGGCATTTGATGATGGAGCCAAAGCATCCCTGCTAGAACTCGTTGAGTTATTTTCTTTGGGGGCATTATCATTTCGGTTGGTGGCGACTAACCCGAAGAGAGCTTCCATAAGATCATCATCAACCCTATAGTTTAGTAAATCATCAGCCAATGCTAAATTGGAGGAATCAAAATTTAGATATTTATAAAATCTAGTATATTAGGATTACCTGAAAGAACCACGGTCAATTTTGTCCCACACCATAGAGTGATCAAGGTTGGTATTCACCTTATCCCAATGTAATGGCTTAAGTTTTACCTCAGGTGAAGTGTTGCCTTGCTTACTTGTTGTACCTGCTATTCTTTCAATAGGGTTAGCTGGTGGTTTTGATGATGACTTCAAACCACTTGCCTTTGGTGGATGAGGAGGTGGTGCTGGACTCTTTCTAGGAGGTATTGGTGGAGGAGGAGGAGGAGGAGGAGGAGGAGCTGCTCCTGCTAAGTTCTTGTTATTTGGAATTGGTGGAGGAGGTGGTGGCTGTGTCGAGTTTTTTTTATCTAGGATTGGTGGAGGAGGTGGTGGTTGTGGTGAGTTCTTTATGTCTAGGATTGGTGGAGGAGGTGATGGTGCTGATGCTGGTATTGTAGCTTCATTCTTCTTATCAGGTACTGTGGGAGGGGCAATCGGTGTTGCAGAATTTGTAATGTTTGGAATTGATGAGAAAAAATTGGAGATTGGTTTTGGTGATGAAGGGGTAAAGGATGGAGAAGATGGTTGAGTAGGAGAGCCTCCAACTGAAGAAGGAACAGTGGGAGGAGGAGCAGGAGGTGGAATTCTCATGATTGTGTAGGACTCCTTTGGAAGAAATATATTCATGTGGGAAGTTGAAGATCTCTCTCGAAGAAGAGGAGTTTCTTGAATGGATTCATATCTTTTCACTAAATGCCCCTCGTGATCATCTTCTTTGTCTTTGGGAAAATCCAACACCTCCCTTTGGAAATTCTTTTCTGGTAATTTTTTACCTTCAAGTTTTCTCCAATAAATCACATCCAAACCATCCTCATCAACGATCAGTCCCTTCACGTTTCCTTCCACTCTCTCAAACACCTCAACCTGAGGTGTAACACGCCTATCTACAGCAGAAACAGTGCTGTTTGTGGTTTCCTTCCTCTTCCTTGTTCTGAAGCACCTTCTAACCAAGAAGAAAACCAAACCAGAAACAACAATAGTACCTGCTGCAGTTGCAGCTACTGCTGTCCCTACCTTACTGCTTGATGAAAAGGTTGTTGTTGCAGCCACTGGTCCTGGTGATGGAGGTGGTGCATGTGGCTTTGGTGGTGACTCAGGAGGTTGGATTGGGAGGGGTGGTTCTTGAGTTTGAATTGGATAAAATGTTTCAATATTCTGAGGAGTATTGGTCTGGCAATAGCAGATTGGTAATACAAAACCTTGCAAAGCAACAAGGCTCACAAGAAGAAGAAGCATCATGTTCTAAGACACAATGCTGAGGAACAAAGATTACAAATACAACGAGGTTTTTTCCACAAGGTAAGCTATTGTACTTTTTCTGTTTGATGATCATTGCAAGTTTTGTCCTTCATTGTCTTGCGCTATTGGTTTTGCTCGCTGAAAATTTCAATAGAAGGAAACTAGATAAATATTATTAGCCTTCCATGTGCATTCCAATTCACATGACAATGACCAACATGACCCTTTTCCTTGAAATGAGCAAATGAAGGAGTTTAGGATGGTTTAGTCATTTAGCACTTTCATTAAAGATTTGGTCATGCTTTGAAATGAATAAGTGAAACAGATATACAAAGTCAAACATACTTATTGAGGTACAGGTTTGAAGTGGTACAATAGTGATTCAGAGGGTTTTTCAAATGCCATAAATGTGTCAGTACAGTTATACTAAGTCTGACTTAGCTTTTTCCTACAATCGTGTTCATAAAATACTAGCAGCCTTTCATAAACTATTGATTTAAAGGCTTAAAAATAAGAAGAATGAGTACCAATTCCATTCTAAAGCCTTTAGCTGAAGGATTGGTTGACTCAAGAGGCTCACCAAATTTGGTTGACTTAATGGTCTTGCTAAGGCCAACCCCACGTTGAATATTCACAATTGAAGAGTGGCCTAACAATAAGGTGTGGTGGTTCAATAATATATATATATATATATATATATATATATATATATATATATATATATATATATATATATATATATATATATATATGTGTGTGTGTGTGTGTGTGTGTGTGAAATACCTGTGTTGCACAGTAACACTGGGTTAATTGAATATGAAATGTATGACTTAAATATTTATTAATCAAATAGTTCTAATTTTTTTTACTAATATATAGTTAATTATAAATGAATTATTATAAATATGTTTGTAGGATAATATATTTTATTTTTATTTGTTAAAATTTAAGCTTTTAAAGAAATTATGATTGAAAAAAACAAAATTAATATCCCAGCTAATTGAAGAAATATTATGTGTTGTAATTGTAAGTATCATAGTTAATATATTGTGAGTATGTTTGACCCTTAGGAGCATTAAATACTATTCGGTCAAAAAAAACTTTTAATACTATATTTATTAACTACAATGTATGGTCAAATAATTAAGTATAGACTTAGAAAAAAAATTATAACATACCTTTTCAATTTATAGATATTATATCAATTGAAAATGTTCTATTTTGGAATATTTTTTATAAACTAAATTGTTAAAACAAATTATTAAGTATATAAAAAATATATTAAAACTTATGTTACATTTATTAAATTTAGTTGTTAAAAGTTTAATAACCAGCTATAAAAATATAAAAAATATATTAAAACATATGTTACATGTGAATGACTTTTTAAGTCTCCATACGATTATTAAATAAATTATAATGTTATTTGTATGTTTTTTTATTTTATTTTAGAGATTCCCAAATGATATAGTGCATTTTGTTTCTCTTTTTTACTTCAAGTGACTTACTTTAACTGGGAAGTGTCTTAATAAATTTTAAGATGTAATTAAAAAATATAATATAATTTTTCAAATCTTATTTTTTTTCGTTGAATATAAAATTATTAATCAAAATTCTATATTTAACGTCTCATAATTAAGAGAATTCATTCAATTTTGTTTTTTAACATTATTAGTATCAGTTAAATTTTTGAATAATTTTAATTTTAAAAATCTACTTTCAATAATAACAATAATTACAAGTATTATCAATAAACAAAACATTTTTTAAAAACATGTCATTTTTAAATAATTAATATTTGCAGCGAATCATAATTTTTTTTATACTTATTAAAATATGTTTTGTTGAAAAAAAAATCAAAATAACTCTCTTGCAATTAATCTGATATTAAGTAAATCCCTCACATATCTTTCTCTCTATATCTATTCATCTATATTAATATTATAAAATATTTGATTATAATATTATATCTATTATATAAATGATTATATTTTCAACAACGACAGTATAATTTTTAAGATATATTATAAAAATTAAGAAATTTATTATAAATAATTTGTGCTTTAATGATTTAGTTCGTTGGAATTAAAAAAAAAAACAATTTTGTTTAAAATATCCCTTGTTTGAGAAGAAAATAAGATTTACTTATTAAAATAAGTTGAAAACTACATAAACAAGTAAATAATTAAAAAATATATAGAGAGATATAGAGAGAGACCTGTTTATTTTATTAAAAAAATACTTTTAAAAAATAAACACAGATAAATCAGTCCAAAATTTTATATAAAAAAACAAATATGTTGTTTTCCACTATGAATGAATAAATTATTTTCTCAAATATTGTTTTTTATTATTTTTTTAGAATTATTAATTTGTTTTATAAGATTAATAAATATTATGAATTTAATAGTCTAAATCTGGTAGGTAGGGGTTAATGCATTGTACTGATTGACTTATTGATTAAATATATTTGTTAAATAAAATTTCAATTCAATTGATAATTATACAATCTAATATTAGTATAAAATTAAGTAAATAAGTATCTCTATAATACAGTTTTATTCATTAAAACAAATTCACAGTACTTCTTATAAAAAGAAAATAAGAACAGATGAAATTATTTCTTAATAAAATTAAATTAAATTAATTTATATATAGGCTAATTTGTAAAAATCATTTTCTATTAGCATCTACAAAGTTTCATTTTAAATTTATACATGAACCAATATTAAAAAAAAAAAAAAAAACTTTCTGGTTAAATGTTAGGAAACTATGCTCAACATACTTATCACAGTTTTTCTTTTTCATTAAGTTATGAATTTTAGCAAATTGAATCATTTGACTTGAGAATTAAGCAGGAAATTTTTAAAAGTTAATATTTATTTATTCTAGATGATGACCCCGAACAACCGAAAAGAGAAAAAATAATAATAATAATAATAATAATAATACAGTTTTCACTCAACCGATCTTTTAGTTTTGCTATAATTGGTTAATTTTCAGTGGATCAATTATACTTTTCTACAAACTGAGTCGTGGGGTGAAAGTCTCGTATACCATTTCAAATAATGTATTAGTTTTTTTTCTTTTTCCAAAGGTATTTTATTCTAGAAGATGACCCAAAACTACCTAAAACGAAGATATATAATATTTGGATTTAATTTCCCTGAACATACCATTTTTTTTAATTTTGGCTTTGTTGATTATTTTAAAATGAATCTTCTACTTTTTGTAAAGTGATTGGTACGGTGACATTGAGACACAATTTCAATTAACGATGGAAAAAAAAAATGTTCCCTCACTTTCTATGGCCATAGATTTTTATTTTTTTCAACCCTAAATTTTTTTATCGGGAAAAATATCTTGAAATGTTATGAATAAATAATTAAGTTTGGGAAGTGACCTAAAATTATGCAAGAACAATGAAAATTTTAATTAAGCCTATGTTGTGGTTAGAAAATGGGTTTGGTACTTTAACACTGAAAGGAGTTATGGTTCAAATGAAGCAGAGAATTCAACTCTGTAATCAATAATTCAAGGGAACAGGAAGAAACACCGTATGAAGTTGATGAAAAATCAACTCGATGTTAGGGTGGATTAAAATAAGAAAATATTATAATGCATAGATAAATATATTTATTTTTATCTTATAAAATAGATTTCATAAAATTAAATTAAATATTTTTTAATTTCTATATGATCTTAGAATCATACTCAGATAATAGATAGAAAACATAAATAATAAGCAAATGACAAATAAAAAAATTCTAGGACAAAAATTTTTGAAACTCTTTTAAAATTAAAAATCGTATAATAATACAATATAAAAATAGCATATGGACAATGACAATTAAAAAAGGAAATATATCTTAAAAGAAGGATAAAACAACAAAATCTTAAAACTATATATTTATAAGTAATATTTTTAATAAAAACACTAAAAATGTTTATTCATAAGTTAATTATATAATATCAATGTCCTTAATAAACTTATTACACTTACAAGTTTATGTTACTTAACTTTTTTATTTTTATCCCATATATGTTGCTACTTACAATTAAACTAACATTTTTCAACTATATTCACATTGTCCAAGTTTTATTAATTTAATATCAAGTTTATCTAATGAAATTTAAATTAAATTAATCTAATAATAAATATTGCATTGAAAATAATTCAAGGTCCAATCAACCTTTTTTTTCAGTCGTATCATCATTTAATTTATAAACTTTTAATTTCTTAATTCATCAAATGAAGTTAAAATCATAAAATAAAGATGTTTCAATTTAATTATAATAAAACTATATAATAGTAGATGATATATTGATTTTTGTACTTTAATTTAAAAAAAAAATTACCTAAAATTGAAAATTAAAGGTTTCTTTTAGATACAAATCATTAAATAGTCTAAAACTGAACTTTATGATAAAATCAAATCCCAATAATTGGTTGTAGAAAAGTTCCAAGTTGGTGGCTTTGTAGCTAATTTCACACACAAATCAAACTTCAATTTTGCCTTAATAATCGCTGCACCCCCACCAAGCTAACACAGCACCCACCAAAATATATTAATGGATATCTCAAAAAAAAAGAGAAACGTGTAGAGGATAAGGGATTCAACTTCAATTTCAAATATGTTTAGTTGGGTTCTGAGTAGGAAAGTGTTAGAAATCAAATCCTGAATGATAATAATGCTTTACTTTATTTATTAAGTATTTAGTTTTGCATTGTATTGCATCTTATGCAAGTGGAATTATAAGCTATTACAATTTATTCTTATGTTAAACTGCATTTAATAAAAGTTTACCATTTTGTTAAGAAAAAAGGTTACCACATTATTATATATCTTTTTTACATATTTATAACTTTACTAAATAAAATATATTTGGACAATCTTTATTAGTATTTTTAAAAAAGAAAAATAATAATATTTCAATTCAGTATGTGATAATATTCACAAGATTAAAAATAATTTATAATATTTTTTTCTTAAATCATTTGATATTTTTAAGGATAAACTCATATATTAAAGTTTTAAAATAAATAATGAAAAATAGAAAAAAATAATAAAAAACAACGTATTTTAGCAATAATTATATATAAATCATTATTAAAAGAATTACAATAATTCATTAAAATTATTTTTAATTTTTACAATGATTTATTTATAATAACCATTATATGTCATACGATAACACTTTTAATTATAATTATTATCGTATTTAACATATGACGATTATTCTTTTATAATTATGATCATATATGTAGATACATAAATGATTATAAAAAAAATATCATTGTTGTATATCTAATATTTTAACAATGATTTTTTTTATAATTATCATAATAAGTCAAATATAACAACAGTTATTAAAGAATTATTGTTGTGCTCGTTATATTTTTTTCTTCATGGCTTAATCTCTCATTTCTTCTACTTTCTTTTTTTCCTCTTTTTCTTCAACTCTCCTTTTGAATGAGTGGTCCGTGATATCTAACTAAAGTTACATTATAAATTCGCATATTTTCCCTCACTTCTTCAACTCTTTTTATTCTATTATATTTTTCTCTTTTTTCGCAAAGCATCCATTCTCATTACACATTTTTTTTAAGTGTAAGGCGAGTGTGAGATGAAAAACAAGTACAAGGTGGATGATAGGTATGAGATGAAAAATGAGTCAAAGATGGACAACAAGTTAAAAAATATTAAGTCGAAGATGTTTTATGTGTAAAATAGTAGTGAAACATTCTAGATCTATTATGACGGAGCAAGATATATTGTGACAAAAAAAAATTATGTAACAGAAGACATACAATGTATTTATAATCGTCTTTGTACTGATCAAGATAATAATCAATTTCACAATTTTCACTCACGATTACAATAACAATTCATAGAACGTCATTTAATCATTTATTATTTATCATAGAACACTTTAAAAAAAATTCATCCAACTCTGCATTACACTATTCCCTTACCTGACCGACTATCAAAGTTAAATAATAACAAATAAAAATTAAAATATTTTTTAATAAATTAAAATTAATTTATACCTAATTAAAAAATTATGAGATTACTTATTCAAAATAATATATTATAATATAATTTTAATTTGTAAGTTAAAATTTATATATGTTTCAGTTGTAAGAAAATATCATTTAATTTCTTTAAAATTTTTTTATTTTCTAATTTGTGCGTGTTGAATATAGAGAAAATAAAATTTGAGATTAATCTCCCTTGTGTATAAATCATATAAAGATAATCTATTTATAATAGAGAGGTACAACTAAAAAAAGTAACAAAAAGTAAATAGAATAAGCAAATGATATTGTGGTTAACAATATCTTAACAATATCAAACAATATCTAAACAATATTAACAGTGAAACTAATTTTAAATTATCATAATTTTTTTCCTTTTTATTTTTGTGTTTAAAATAAATTATCTAATCATACCTTAAGCCAAGTTCATTGATAAGCTTGATGACTTCAGCTAGTCTATTTGTATTTATATCCAAACAAAACTCTTTAACAATAGGGAAAAAAAATGAAGGTGTAATAAAAGATAAAAATAGTAAATTGATATGGTTTAATGAAAGTTATTTATTGAAGTCGGCCAGTGAGGCCAAATATAATCAACTTAGGAATATCATATACTTGGTTGAAATAAGAAAATATCAGATGACAAATTATTTCATATATATCAATCACATATATTTTATGTAAAAAAAAATTAAAATCCCAGTGGACCAATTGCCCCACAACTTCTAACATAGATTTGCCACTGAAGTTATGCCTCCCCACAAATATTTTATCACCAATTCAAACCTTCAAATATTAAAAAATGCATCGACAGCTGATAAGCTTAGAACACTATTTATGAACTATAAATAGTTTTAAAAACTTAAAACATTGACCAAGGGTATTGTTGAATTAAACGAATAAAAGAGCTTGTTTCACAGATTCATTAAATAATTAAAAGTTTTCATGATGATGTACAAAGTATGAAAACATAGGTTTGTGTTATCTCTCTAATATAACTTCACAGAAACATCCATTAGACATGCAGAATAATGGTTGATAGGTGAGTGAGTGAGAGCATGTGATGGAGTTTCTCTATTAGGCAACTGGCTCATGAGTATTCCCGATTAAGCATCTAAATTTAGCCCAATTAGGTAATAAAAAATGCTTTTAGATATGAGTCTATATGTCATCCATGATGATTTTTTTTTGTCTACAATGATAACAACAAACATGATAAGGCCCAGATATTAGATATGGCATAGTGACAGAATCAAACAAAAGGAAACTGATTTTACGTATCACAATTTTGCCAAACATGAGGGACATAATCAAAACCAAACTTTGCACATTGATCACTTGAAGGCACCGGATTATGGGGCCAGCCAACACACACAAAATTGGTGGCCAGTGGAAACTTTGTCTCCATCTTTCTTCTATTATGCCACGCTTTTTGGGTTTTATGGACCCCTAATAACACCATCCTTCGTTTTCATTACACAGGCCCAACTTGCTTCTATGAGTGAATTACTTCACAATTCACAGTTACCCCCTCTTTTTATCATTTCTATTTTTTTACACTATTCAAATATTATTGATCATTTATATACTTGGATGGAGTTAATTATGATCATTATAAAATTATAAAATATTTGCACATGTTTTTAATTTAATTACATTTTCAAATACTTCTATCAGTTTTATTCATATATATTTTCTGATCTAGAAATATTTACATCTAATTTTCTTCCAAACAATATCTTAATTGTATTTTCCAAGTTCAACTTATCTACAGATAAAAACATAACTCTTTGAAGCTGGTATGGAGTACCTTCAAAAGTATTTCATCGATTTCGGAGAAGTTTAGTTGGAGCAAATCTTTGCAACCACATCAAATATCAATAGAAAGATGAGATTAGGTAAACATTGTAGCAGTGGAAGCAGAGAGCTTGACTCGTAAGTTGCAATAATCTGTTTTGGCATTGGCAGACACCCTCACCAAACGGTTGTTCTGTCAACCATTGATCTTTTCTTTCTTTCTTTGAAATAAGTGCTTTGGAAAGTATGATTCTCCTGTTTGCAGGTTAGAGAATCTAAGACAAATTGATTAGGCTATCAGTAGTTTGCTTCCGGTTATGCTTTACAACACAAAAGGGGTGGTCAAACCAGTCAAATTAACAACCACACTCAGTAACTTTTGTATGCAATTGTTGGAATTTGTATAACTCTGATTATCATCTAGACAAATTATGTTCAATATTAAAAGACAATACTTGTAACCTCTAAAACCAAAGGGTAAGAGTTTTGGTGGTAAATGTAAAAAACTTTTCAAAACAACACAAGGACTACCCACAACGGAAGAGGAGAAGATCAAGAAGAACAATAATTTGTCAAGGGAATCTCGTCTCATAATAAAATGGCTACATACAACTCTGAAGAATTGTTCATTAACCAAGTCAATGTCACACATGTTACCAGTAACAGCTGTTTGTTTAGTTGGATTTTTTGTAGTATTGATCATAATGGTTAACCTCTTCAAGTCTAACCACAAAATCTTAACCTTGTGTTGTGTCCCGTCCAAAAGGAGCGACCAGTGGAAAAAAGATTGAAAAAAGATGAAAACAGACAATGGTGAACAGGGCACATGTGGATCACTATGGTCCAGTATCAACAACCAAATATTCTGGTTCCTCTTCCACATGACACAGGCGATGTTTTCTGATATCGCAGAAGGTTTATTGCAGCCAAACCTCCTCCATTAGAGACAACCAGACAAGTACAGCAGTTCCAAGACCCCACGACACCTTCCCACCCTCTTCCTTGAGGGAACACTTCCAACATCTCCACTTCACATCCCCATTCCCTTTCTTTATTCTTTACACCAGACAAGATCTTGCAAACTATTATTCCATCTGTTTCACATCATTTCCAATCCCAAATTCAATGTTTCACTCACCCCTTCTACACACCATCTATTATTTTATTTCATGCCTTTCATTGCACGTTCTTGTAAAAGGGTACAATCTTTTTAATCCAACAAAAACATTACAATAGTAATGTATTTCAATAACTTTCTTTTCCCACGTAATAATATTATGCTTCCATAACCTTAACCCACCTTGGTACAAACAAACAAAATAAATTAGCAAAAGATAAGACCGGGGCAATGCAACAAAAACCGTTACAGCAGACAACAACAACAACATCATCAACGGGTAATTGCAATTCGACCCCCGAGAGAGGAATACAATAAATCTTAAGAGCAATAAAAGAAATGCTGCTGTGGATGGCATCACAGCGAGTCAATCGGTGTTGCTCATTTTAAGCCGTCTGATAGGAGAAGCGAGCACGCTCGGTGAAGATGTAGGAGAAGACGATGGTGAAGAAGCGAACGGTGATGATGAAAGTGTAGAAATGGACGGCGGTGATGATGACACGTCAGATATCTCTTCCTCTTCTTCCAGCTTCCGTTTGTTGTTAATCTCAATACCAACACCCTCAGCTCCACTTCTTCTGTCATGGCTTCCAACCTTAACCTCTCTCGTTGCCATGTAACCCTTCAACCGTTTCACGTCAGATAATTTCACTGGCTTCACTATGAAATCCTCTGCACCTTCCTCCAAGCATCTAAACGGTTTCAAATTTTCCAATTCGTTTCAATTTTCGAATATTCATCGCAAGTTTTAACATATGTTCATTAACTTAATTAGTTTTAAAGAACAAAAATGTAGCTTGGTGGAAATAAATCAATAATGATCATACCTGTCTATGCGCGGCAAAATGTTTTCGGAAGACATTATTACTACCGGAATTTCCCTGAACATGGATGATTCCTGCATCAAATAAAAGTTTCATCAAGTTTTCACTTAGCATTATTAATAACAAGGAAAAATCAAGGGTTGATGATAAGAATATTTGATTATTAGTTAATTAACCTTGATTTTCTTGAGCAATTCATAACCGGTCATTTCGGGCATGCAGTAGTCTGTGATAATTAGATCCACCTTCAAACTCGGCTAAGGAAAAGACAGAAACATAGAGCAGAAAATAAGCTTTGGAAAATTAAATGAAGTTCATGAAAATGAAATGAAAATTCAATGATACATACGACAAAACCATCAGATTCAGATGTCCTTCTCTGCTCGTCCAACCCCAGAAACTGCAGTGCTCTGATTCCACTATCCACAGCCGTAACTGCAATTTTTCCATCCAAACAAAACCCAAAAAAATCCTTAACCAAACACAGGTAAAAGAGTTAAAAAAAATAAAAAACAACATAAACTACCCAACAAACAGAGTGTTGTGTTTTCTTATGTTAAAGAACAGTTAATTACCTTTACAAGCTGAGATTTTGAGCAAGCGTTCAATGACCTTTCGATCCACGAGGCTGTCATCGACGGCCAAAACATGAACCTCCTGGGAATCCTCCGGCGATACATGATCGATGGAAACGACGCCGTCTGTTTCCATTGGAAAGTGCAGAGGGGAATTGTAAGCCAAGGAGAAAGAAAGAAAGGAAGGAAGAAAAGAACAGAAAGAGGATTCCTTAATGTGGGTGAACAAATCTTAAATACAGTGTGATATTAATGTAATGTAGCTATATGACATGTTATGTTGTTGTTCCATAATATCCATCTGTCACCGCTTTTTTAATAATTATAATTCTATAATAATAATAATAATAATAAAGTATCTTTTCGAAAATCAAATCATAAAATCTTTTTCTTTTTATTTATTTTTTCAGAAGATGGCGCTGAGATTCTGAAATCCACTTTGGTTTCTGATCTCAAACACATTTTTTTTATCCCTACACTATGCTTCTAAGTAAGGTATTAATGACACGTCCTCAAACGATATCTCGCGTTATTTTGGTCAATCATCGGAGTTCGTGAGTTACGTCGCATATAGATTGCTGGGAGTGGAAAGCGTTGACCAGAGTCAATGCAGAACCAAATCGCGCCGTCAAAATTTCAACGTCGGTTTTTACTGTTCTTCGTTTGGTAATTCGTGACATAAGAGAACTTCACCATTAATGCTAAGAAGATTTTCAGATTTTGGGTGGGTTCATGTTTCTTCTTTTGTGGGGTTGTAATTAATTGCAAAGAGTATTTATGGACGTAGAGTATCTATGCTAATCTTGTTGGAAGCGATGCGATCCACGTGCAGTCTTGTGTGGTTTTTTTTTTTTTTCTATGTCCATGTGGATGTTCCTTTTGTGGTAAAAGGTTGAAGATATGGTGATGTTCGAAAATAAACTACATTTAGGAAGTGAAATTTCATTGGGATTTGAATTGATTTTGTTCCTGCACTTTGAACTTTAATTTTAAGCTCATGTTCATTGAGGGGATATTTTAAAGAGATTTCTTTCTTTTGGGAGAATAATTGATGAAGATATTTGGTCAAGGATGCAAACAATGCCAGCTCAAAATTAAGATGAACAGTTATATTTTATGCATGTCAATAATTCATTTCGTTTTATTAATAATGTAAGTAGCTAGAGTATCTCTTGTTCATAATCATAACAAGCAAAGATCAGTGACTTGTACGGTTTAAGGACATGGAATGATTTTAATTTTCATAAAGTTGAGAAATACCAAATTTTGAGATAACGCAAATTCCAAACTTTTCTAAAATAATAATTTAAATAATCCTAAATTGCATTTGAATATCGATACGGTGCATTGGTTACCAGTATTTAATTTATACTTATCAAAATTGTTGATATATATAATATTAATTATAAAATTTCACAAATTACAGTTTTACGTTTAAAATCAATTTTTTTCTGAAAAAAAAATTAATTTCACTTAATTCGAATTTAAATAAAAAATAGTATTTTATTTTTAATCTATTCAGAATGTAATTAAAAATCCATCTGTCATATTTAACGATGATTCAATTTAATTTGTTCAAGTCAAATCCATCCATAAAATTAAATATGTTTTTTAATTTGTAAGTAACAAAGTAATTCATTGGTTGAAGAATAATGGGAGATGAAATGAATGAGATGGGATATTTTGTGGAGTTGTTTTCCCAAGATTGATTTTTTTCATAAATTAATATCTTGTGGTCAGATCAGTTAATCCGCCATTAAAGGAGATGGTACAGTGAGGACCCGATTTTGGTAATTGCAGAATGTCTCACTCACTCATCCTCCTTCATAAGGATCTTCTGTCCCTATTCTCTGGTCAATGAACCATACTCCAATTTTTCCTTTTTCTTTTTTACTCACCGACTTGCTTATTACTCAAAGTTAATTCACATTTTGGATTTTATTTTATTGCTTTAAAAATATGATAAATAGATAATATCATATTATAATGAAGAATTTGAAAGATTATATTTGTGCAGAGATAAAATGTAAAATGTAGCCCATGAATTAGGGTCAGCAACTCAGTCTTTAGCATCACCCTTGACATGTTAGGAAGAGAAAGTTGTAACCAACTTGGATTCTTCATCCCAAACAATAACCCTAGTACCAGTTGCATCTCATGATGAAAATAGACAAAATATTTATACTAGTCAAAATTGTAAATAGGCTTTCAACCACTATTAATATAAAATATGTGACCTTATATTTCATACTAAACACAAATCATATCTTATGACCTCAAATATAGAATTTTGAAAGTTCCTATACCACAATTTTTAAGAATTTTACTTTTTAAGTATCACATTTTGTGAAAATAAAAAGTTTAGTAATTATAGTTGAGAAATACCTATAATTTAATCTCTACAAAATTTTAAGTTAAATATAATGTTATATTTTTTTAATATAATTCACTCATGTCTTATTTTAAGAATAATTATATCAACACTCAAACTTTCACTGTATTAAGAGAAACATATTATATAATAACATTGCCCTTTAATCATTTTTTTAATAGTCATAAATCGGGAAAAAATTATATATATATATATATATATATATATATATATATATATATATATATGAATAACTTATATAATTTTCACATGGATTTTGATAATAAAATAATATAATTTGTTATAGTAAAACTTTTATCTAAAACATTTAAAAAAAAATGTAAATATATCAATGCGTTTGTTTTATTTTTCTATAATAAAATATAATTAACTTTTAATTATAATAAATAATTTATACATAATATAAATATAAAAATATCGAGAAAGAAAATCTTAGTTAGAGGATTAATAACATTTTGAATTTAAATAAAGTGTCTTAATAATGTAAATATTTTTTTCTGTTGTTGAATTATATATATTATTACATGAATTAAGTTTATTAAATTTCATAAAATATAATTCTAAAATAATACTGAAATTATTTTAATAATCAATTAATAATAAATACTTAAGTTATAAAAATAAAACTCCGGTATTTAAGCATTTTCATCTTTTTATTTCTGCAAGTTTCAAATATATAAAACCAAAAAATTCATTGCATTATACTATGCGCAACAAGTTTAAAAAGTTATAGTAGTAAGAAAATAATTATATAGCTTCATAACAATTATCATATAACTTTATACCTTTTATTTTTCTTATTTTTTATTTATAAGAGTATACAATTATATTATTTATATATTAGTTTAATGCATAATATTAGAAATTATAAATACATATTAATTAGATAAAATTGTATTAGATATTTTAAAGGAATTTATGTATAAGAAGATTTTGACTAATAAAATATAAACATTAATAACCATATAAAAATATATAATATCATTTTTAATTCAAAATCTTACAACATTAACATACGAGTTTTGATCTCTTATAAATTAATTAAATTTCACAAATTTAGTGGATATGGAATTTTAAGAATTCGTAATAATTTTCACACTTGAATTCCCTATTCTGTATACCCTCCAAATCCTAGTTACTTAGTTAACCTTTCCAAAGAAGATTGATACAGAAGTCCAAAAGAATGGACATTGGGTCAAAGTGATCAAAATTTAATGTAACACTTTGTTACTGGTCAAACGCAAACAGAATCTCGCCCCTCTTTTATAATTTTGTGTCCATGTATTCTTGTATAGTTGTGGGCCACTTACTACACACCGCACAGTCCAATTGAATGGGTCAACTTTATCTGCTTCCGTCCCTTCGGCACATAATTTGTGAAAGGGGTTTCATCATCAATGCTAAGCTTCGGCTTAATCGGCTAATAGCTATCATTATTCGTTTGCATACATAAAGATAAGAGTTTTATAAATAGAGTTATGAAGATAAATAATAAATTTCTATTTTTCATATTATATATTTTTTCTTTTCTTTTATATATATTATATAGATCTTATTTTTAGTTTATTATATAAATTGAGTTGTATTTTGGTATATAGATGGAATGTTGACACTATGTTCGATATATTCATATTAAAGATGAAATGAAGAGGTTCTTATTTTAGACGAAATATTAAAGTTCACTAAAGATCTATAATTTAATATACTTATTAGTCTTACATTATTTATGAATTAAGATAAATTATAATTTATATAATACATTTTTCTTTAAACCTATCAAAATTGTTATGATACTTTTTATATATTTTTTTTTCAGAACTTATCAAAATATTTTTTGAAAATAAATTTATGAGAGACTTAAATTCGTAATGATAATAGTTTTTAACAATCAGATAAACAAAACAATAAATTATTTTGACTTACTTTTAAAATCTATAACAAAATATAAAAATAAAATATGGACTAATCTTTACCAATTCTATTTATATGAAGAGTTAAAAATATTATATTGATTGAGTAATGGAATGCATATTATGCCCAACCAACTGAACAAACGGTTTGGATTAGATCCGATGAACATAATTGGAGGTTGAAATATTCAATAGAATCAAGCACTCTTATATAATAACAAATGGCAGCAACCTTTTGTGAAGGGTTTAAAGAGGGGGAAAAGGAAGCCACCGAATAGTTGGTATTTTATTTGATCGCACAAGATTTGGCATCTCTTTTTTTTCAATACTGGCTCTGATTTCGGGGTATCTTTTTTATTTGCTTGTACTATCGCAATATCATACGAACTTTGGATCTCACTTTACCAAACAGGTAATCAAAGCACAAAGCATTTTCCTTCAAACGTCAACCACATTACAAAACAACACAAAGCAAAAAAAAAAAAAAAAAAAAAATTGGTAGCATCCTTCATCTTTTCAAACATTAAAGCGATATATGCGACACTGAACGTGGAATTCAAGGATATGCTATAATATTATAGGAATACCAATGTTTACTAGGGTTTTCAACTTTAATGGTTCACCTAAACCAGCTTTTCTAATCGAATGGTTAATGCTTTGTGTTGTGTTTAATAATGTTCTGATATGATGCCCAGGAACTTCTTCAATGTTTAAATAAAGCACTGTTGTTTTGAAACATATGTATATACTTTTAATGTTTTCTTTTTTATTCTGTTATGGAAATGAGTTGAACCCTTTTTCATTCTCGGTAAAAGGAGAACTTCAAGGAAAAAAACAAATGTTCATTTCCAAAATTAGGATTTGTTATTTAATTTGTATACATCGTCGTAATTGTTTATTCTGAATTATTAAAAAAGAAGTCGTATAATATAAAAGAGATTAAAATTAATAATTTAATTTTTTATAATTTGCAGGACTTGCTTCTTCACATTATGACAAATGTTGGATACAGGATTTGCATATCAAGCACTACCCACTCACCCAGGATCTATTAAATGGTAATTTCAAGATTGAATGTAAAAAAAATATCAGTGTATATGTGAAAGTTAGATTATTTTTAAGTTTTTTCTTATGAATATTTATGAAAAAAAAAAAAATGAAACAAAACTGAAATATAATTTCACTTTAGAAAATATTACAATTTTTCCACCAAAGAAAAGCCCAATAGCTCAAGCATTTTGACCCAGATAATCTTCAACCGTTAGCCCATACAGGGTGGATAAAAGTTCGATTCGTTGATCAAGCCCATTCTCATCCAATACTCACAAGATCCAAAGCCGATGCTGCTTACATTCTTTAAGGTTTGTTCAGTAGAGAGAGAGAAAAAAAAACTATATTATTTTTAATATTATTTTCATGATTTATTTATTTTATTGTTAATATTATTTCGATTATTATCTAACAATAAGTTATTATAGGTCATTTGCATGAGGAACAACATAAACTATTATCTTTACAATTGATTTCTGATAACAATTTTTTTACTTCTTATATGTATTTAACATTACGCAATTAAGTAAATTGTTTATTAAAACATTATATTTCATTATATGGTTTTTTGGATATGAAAAAACCTTCTAGAATATTACTATTTTTTATTGACTATGTACCGTTTCAGTACATTTTAAAAAAGTGAATGGGCCGTGCTGGGCCTGGCGGTCGGCGAGATGAACGGGATGGAGTGCGCGGCGAAAGGTAGCGGAGCACGGTGCGGCGGTGCCGCTGAGCGACTCTGCGCTCGCTGCGAAGCCGTCGCTTATTGCTCTCTCTCTCACCAGGTTTGCATCAACTTCTTCTGCTTATGTACGCCTCTAGGTTATAAATTTGCGATGTAAATTCGCACATAGCTCACCGCATCGTGTTTGGTCTCTTAAGATTGCACACTGGAGTCGTCACAAACACGAGTGTGATAGGTTGCAACAACAGATGAAGAGTGTCGAAGTCCTCAATGATTTTCCCTTCACTTTCTCTCGCGAAGCCACGTTTCAGGTCATCACTCATCTTCTTCCTTCAAATACCTCTTTTCCAAGCACCAAAACTTAATTTTTTTTTAAATTCTTGTCGTTTAATTGATTTTCTGTAATTTTAACAGGTTTGTGTGAAGCAGGAAACTAGGTGTTCGTTTTTGAGCAACAGAGGTCTTCATAAAGTGGGAATGTGGATTCATGAATGCGGTTGTGGGGCACCATCTGCTTCATTTGATTGTTTAGGGTTTCCACTTATTTCCTTCAAATTCTGAAACTTTTGTTAATTAAATTTCAATTCATTTCAGTGACGAGTTCCTTGTGGAGTTGAAGAATAATCCAACTTATGATTATAATGTAGTCACAATCTTTTCACTTAGTTTATAGCAAACTTCAGAGTTTAAATTTTATTTTTTTCAGGTTAAATAATGGTTGGGATCTCCCAAGTGTTTTATGTCCGTGTGGTAAGCAGTTTCTCAAGCTTCTTCTTCAACTTCCCTTTCCTCTTTTTTAATTAGATTTAGAATTAAACGCAATGTATAAATGGTCAGGGCCTAACTCTCTGGTATTAGAGCAGTTGCATAGTTGGAGAGACTACTATAAGTGGAGAAGCATCCCACTAGACTCGCCTGTTGCTTTGCTTCTTCACTGGGTATGGTTATGTAAATTTTTGTCACAATTAGCTCTAGGAAATCCTATACTTTTATTCTTGTTTCAATTTTTTGACTAGGAATTTGTAATCTCATATTTGTTTGTAAACAGAAGTATTGATGTGTGCAGTTGGCTTTGGCTCTTATTTTGTTTGCAGCCAAAATACAAGGAAGGGGTGGGAGGTTTAGTCCCCCCATCCCCTCTCAGACTTTACCTACCACAATAAAATCTTTGCTTTCACCTGTAAAATCTGTAGAGGAATGGATCTTTGACCCATTAGTTACTATGATAGAAGAGAACGGGCTACTAAATTTACTGCCTTCAATACGATTTATGAGCATAGGCATTTTACATATATTTTCATCATTACTTTCTTTTTTAATTATATGATTTTTTTTTTAGAATTAAATGATTGCCTCTATTTCAGCCACTTACAATATATCATGCTGCTCGTCTTGTTGGGATTACAGCCTTGAATCCTGAAATCAATGAAAAGTTGTACGTACATTACCTTGGTATATCATCACCTATAAATTCTCTCTTAAGCATTTTAATTTCTAATTTGGAGTATTTTTCATTAGTTCTCTTTTATACCATATGGTAGGAATGGGACCTGATTGTGTAGTTTTCTCTAAAATACTCTGATCATATGTACAAATATCGTATATTTGGGGGCCAAAGATATTTATATTCAGTTAAACTTAGAAAAGAGAAGAAATAGATGCCACAGGCTACTCAAAGAAAAAGAGTGCAACTATGGAGTTAAACCTCACTTTTAGCTTTTACTAAATTGCCTTATTTTATTTCCAAACGAAAAAGGTTTGCTTTACTATAAGAAAATTGCTCAAATTACAATACTGATATTTTATCTGACTTTGATTAAATACCCTCAGATAAGCTACTACAGATTTTTCCAAGCTTTTATGTTTTCACTTATATGGGAAATATCTTTATTTCACATTGCAGCAAGTTAGTTCAAATAACCGAGTGTCGTCTAATGAGTTATGACTAAATATGCTACTTCTCCTTTATTGGACGTGATGCATGTATGTTTTATATTTCCACTCAAAATCTAAAAGTAAAACTAATGATTCATCAATCAACTAAGATAAAACTTGGGCTTTTGTAAGCCTTTTTTCTTTTATTATCATTTAAAAATGAAATGCTGTTTTCAGGTTTCACGTGTTATTAAAAGTTTGGTTAAATTTCCAAACATACTCAAGATTAGTTATGAAACTGTTCTTTTACTCAACTTTACGGTTTATATCTTTTATTGATCATAAATAAAATGTTTACTTTTGAAAAATACATATGCTTTTTTAGAAGAGAAATGATGTTTTGACAACACTTATTGTCAAAACATCCATCCAGCAACTAAATACATTAATATAATAATATTATTTATTATTATTATTATTATTTGTATTTGTTAATAAGGTGTATGAGTTGTCAATATATCACCTCTCTTTTTAAGAAGGCTTGATTATGTATTTTCTTATTATTGATTTCTCAAAATATAACTTCGACTTCATGGTTATGTATGGAAGGACCCGAGAAAGAGCTGCTACAACTTGCGGTGTTTGGAGAATTACTGGCAATCTTTCCTGGTGTACATATTCATATAGATCTTGTTGGACCTGCAATTCCTCCTCAAAGGTCTGATGCATTCTCATAAGTCATACACTTATCATCTGATGCTGATCTTATTTGGTCTAAATATCTGTCCTTTTTGCTTCCCAATGAACAGGGATGGTGAAAAAGTTCACATTTCCAAGTATGCTTGTTGCAATGAAGACGAGTGTGAGTGTAAAATAGCAATTAAAAATACTGTTTTTGGAACACAGTCCGGTTCAGCTGTGACATTGCAGCTTTGGCAAGGATTCTATCATGACCGATATGGAGATATTGTTAAGGTATGTTGCAACATTTGAAAGGGATCTAGAATCTAGTGATTTCATGCAGTCTTGCTTGATTTAACTTTTTGTGTAATCCCCCAAAATGTACAATTTACTTTAAGTGATGTTTCCACTTACAGGATTCCTTCCCTCACCTAATAATTGCTCCAAATGGTGGCATTGCCGCGTATTCCAGTTGGTTACCAAGTATTGTATGTCACCCACCTTGTGCTTATCCTAGATTTTGGTGTTAGTTTATCTTTTATAATGCCTTTAAAATAATAGTAAACAGCAAGACACATTTAAAGAATGTTTCTTCATTTTATTTGTTTCTTACAAAAATCTCAGGATTTAATTGAAACGATTGATGTCCCGGCTGTTTTTACTGATTATTGTGAGGAAGCATGTCATCTTGCAGCAAGTTGCATTAAGACTGTATCTGGCCGTCCTCTTAAATTGCCCGTAAGCTTTTTATTCGTACTTAGCTGTCTTGAAAAATAATTGTTTTGAAGTTAAATTAATCATTTAGGTATCTGTTCTTATTAATGTACTTGTTGATTGTTTCTTAGGTTCTAGTTCCCACCCGCTTATAGCAGGGACCAATTTGTTAATAAAACTGAAGCTTGTTTCATACAAGGAATGATTCTTAAATGAGTGTTATCAATAGGGATCAAGTGATTATTTTAACCTTGTTTATCATTAGCGTAATCTTTTAATTATCCACTGCACTACTATGTAGGTTCAGTTAAATCCTTTCAGGCAGCCCATAGCCGTGGAAGACAGCGTGCTGTTACTTCCCTGCTACTCGAATTGCTTTCTTTTTGGAATGTGAGTCATTCAGAATATCTTGATTCTTCAGCCACCAATATTGGCCGGAACAACGAAGCTAATTGTATCAAAAGCAAATAATTGCATTATCTAATACGAATGGAGGAAATGGGAGGTGATAACAATTAAAGGCTTTGCAAATAGGTTTCACTTACCCAATAGAGACCCCTGTGTTGGGTCATTTGCAACACGTGCTACAGCCACTTCAATCATTATAAAAATTTCGCTCTGCGTAATATTTCTAATGCCGTCGATGGTACTTATAGTTCTAAATTTGTGATAAGGTCTTAGCTAAGTTGGTAGATTTGATTTGAAGTATCTAAAGATCTTTTTCTTCTGTTGCCTCCCTGTATATACTGAACAACAAAGTTCTTAGACAAAATTTGTGACAGACCTGTTATAACAGGTGATGTAATCTTCAAATGTTGAAGAGTATTTAACTTCGAGAAATGTTACTAAATATGCTTCTTTAAAAATCTTTCTCAATTTTTTTTTATATTGAATGAAATTTTGTGATGTTCACTTGGAAAAGGCATGCAGTGATCGAAATGAGGTTATTTACAAATGACAGTGAATAGAGAGACATGTTTATGCAGTCCTTCTGGGCTTGTCCATCTGAAGGCTCAAATTATTTGCTAGGTTGGGCTAAATTTAACTTGGGTCAACAATTTATTAGTTCAGTTGCTCAACTAACTAAGGTTTGCTCGGTAATAGGATATGTTAATAAAAAGGTTGTAGAGTAATTCACAATATTTCATCAAATCACCTAGAAAGCTTATAAAAATATAATACATAAAATACATAGAAACCTTAAAGAAGTCCACCAAAACACGTGCTTAAGGCAAAATATGTCATCTCCATAGAATTGTAATGTTAATGATTTTACAAAGTTCAACATGGTCAGCTTCATCACATCCCCAAAACATGTGCAATCTATGGGGGCATAACTAGTATATTTCCCTTCATTTGAAAATTCTTGGGCAAATAAAAAACTCAATTTCTTTAATTCATTCACAACGTTTCTTGAACCATGAAATACATCTTTGGCAACATCAATTAGTTTGCCTGAGCTGCTATCAAGTCACTTCCCAGAACTTGTTTCTAACTCAGATATGCTATTAACAATAAGATTTGCATCTTCTTTTTCCAGATTGGACTTCTAGATCATCTTTCTTTTAGATTGAGACTAGTTTATAGATGTTGATCGGAACAAATTGACTTCAACAACATCATCATTTGTTTTTCATTTTCTTTATCTAACTCTTCAACATCAACCGGGCTAACCAGCTCATTTACAAGTAGCATGCTTTTCTCCAAAAGCAAGATTAAGCTTATCAAGAAGAGTTAAAACAGTTACAATAACATGAGTGTTTCAAACTGCAATTTCAAAGTTGAAATATTTCGTGATTAGTTTCAAATCTATTTCGATATTTTATTAGAATAAGGCAGTTTGTCCGTTGTTCTTATATTTGATACGTTTAATTAGTCATATAATTCCTTTATTTTAGATGAGTAATTTATATCAATTTCTATTTTAATTGAATCAAATGTTGTGTTGGATTATAATTTTTTTTTTAATTTGGTATTAGAGCACGCAATCTTGGCAAAATCTTTCCATTTAAAGGCCAATTATGGCTACTCCTCCAAACACCTCCATATACCTTATTTCATTTACAAATCAAAACTTTACATACTCAAACTAATTATATGTTATGAGAAACTATAATCATGTTCATCGTCGGAGGTCACAAGCTAGATGATCATTGTTAGTGATTTTTCTTGACAAGTGAATCGAGTCAATTGTAGTAAATCGGTAAAAGGAGTTTGTCGTATCCTCGGAGACTTGACAAATATTGCACAATCTTAGTTTTCGTTTAGTTAAAACCTTGTATAATGAGATAGTTGTATAAAAATGGATTGGTGAATACAAAAAATTGTTATATAAGAAAAATATATAGAATAAACAGTTGAATTGAATTTCACCAAAACTCTATGTAACCTATTATCTCAGCTTAAAGTTCAACAAATTACTTTAGATTAATTTCTCAACATTAGAGTTTTAAACAATCAATAAATTCCTTGAAAAATTGATTAAGAAACTTGCATTAAACACAAAATCTTTTTCACACAATAATCTTAACTCTATTCCCAACAATTTAAGCTGAAAGTTTGATTTGATTCAAGTCAGAAACAAAAATCATTTTTCAACGTAGATCTATTTCGAAATCATGAAATCCAAACATTAAAAACATAATCAGATTAATAACTAGAGAATATATATATAATGTATATATGTATGTAACAATAGAGTTATACGAATACCAGTTACATCAAATCTAACAAAAAAGAGCTTAATAACATATAGTAAGGAGAAGATAAATCTTATTATAGAAGGAAGTAAACTCTCTGTTCTCCTCTTCTTCTTTTTGTTTTTTTCAATTCGCTCAGTGAATTGAGGTTTCTTTACCATGAAGTACTTTGATTCGCTCAATGCTTTTACCTTTCTAGAAAGTAATCTCTCTACCACAAATATGCTCAACGATTCTATTGTCCACTCAACGTTTCTGCTTACACTGGGAATGTTCCTAACTGCCTCAAATTTGCTGAGCAAATTGAGGATAATACTTCTTTTCGCTCTCATCTAAAAACTACTTAGCGAATGACAAACTGCTGAGCGCTTTGACTCTTCATGAAATGTTGTAATCTTTTGAATTCCTTATGTAATTAACAAATACTTGGATTAATTTACCTATCAACTCTTTGTAACTCAAAATATACATAGGTAGAAGTAAATGAGAGTTTTACATCTAAATCTAAATAATTACATAGAATAAGTGTCATAATTAAAGGTAAAGACATGAAAACATGACACTTATAAATCATGTTCTTGGCAACAAACCTTGTCCTCTAGATTTCATGCTAAGAATTGCACAAAGCAACACAATAAAAGTACCAAACTCGAAATTTGAAGAATAAGCCTCAAATGATCAATTACTTTTGGGATAACTATATAAAATTATGAGTACGAATATATAACATCTCAGCTGATGTGAAACTCGACATTAAAAGAATTGTGGGATGCAACAAATAAACTTTTAGGTGCACATAAAAGACCAGGGATTGTCTACCACAAAGTTGAATTACAAAAAAACAAGAGAAAGAGGAATGAAGATGAAACCGTATTTGACAACTATGAAATCTATCGTTGATAATCTCTCTGTGGCAGGTAACTCAATATCTCAATTTGCACTAACCATTCAAATTTTGAGTGGACTTGATACAGAATATACCCCAATTGTCATATTTTTGACTAATAAATAATTTGTCTTGGATTGAATTGCAAATGAATTTGATAACATTTGAAAGTAGACTCGAGCAACTTAATGCATATCAAATATAGGATGTTAATCTTAGCCATCCTACTACTAACTTTACCACTTTCAAATTTGACAACAAACCATCCAATAATAAAAGAAAGCAAAGTTGTTCAAATTACAACAACAGAGGTGTTCAGGGCATATTTTGAGGAAGAGGAGTAAGGAACAATGGAAATAAACTTGTGTCAACTTTTTGATAAAAGAGGTCATACAACTTCAATATGCTAGAACAAATTTGACCATAATTTCATGACAAACTCATCAAACAAACAAGCCTCAAATGCACTAATGACTACTCATGAGGTGGTTAAAGATCCCTTATGGTATGCAAACATTGGAGGTAGCCATCATGTTACTAATAATCTACAAAATCTATCACACAAACAAGATTGTAATGGTAAGAAATCTCTTATTGTTACAAATGGAAGCAAACTCGACATTATTCATATAGGCAACGCAGAGTTAAAATATTAATCTCTTAATAATGTGTTGTTTGTGCTTAAGATTACTAAGAGTTTGTTAAATGTGTCCTAGTTGGTGACTGACAACAAAGAAATACTGTTTTCTACTCTTCTAATTATTTTGTGAAGAACAAGCAGACAGGTTTGGAGATGCTCAAAGAGAAACTTGAGGATGATCTATGTAATATTGAAGTTGCACCTTCCTTAAATAAATCTAGGTTTCAAAAATTTAGAATGATTTCCTTTTCTTCAAATTTATCAAATATAGAGTCATATTCAAATTTATAAGTCTTTCAAAAGAAGATGCATGGCATATGAAATTAGACCACCCATCTAAAGGAGTCTTGTTTCAAGTTTTAAAAGATTATAATATTAATTCCACTGTTAATAACATCAACTTTTGTGATGCTTGTTAGTTTGAAAAATAACTTGCCTTACCTTTTAAAGATCATCATTCTCAAACAAAAAATGTTTTAGATTGAGTTCACATTCTTTGGAGACCTGCACCAACACTTTTAATATTTGGATATTGCTTTTATATTTATTTTATTGATGAATTTAGTCGTTTTACTTGAACTTATGTTTGTAAAGTTAAAAATGACTGTTCTGATTTTTAATAATTTCAAAACTCTTTTTGAGAATCAGTTGAGAACAAAAATAAAAATAAATTATTCAAATTGTGGAACTAAGTATTTGTCTTTTTCAAAAATAATTCAAAAATTAGATTATTGATGAATTTTTATATACCTCAATCCAAAATTTTAGAGCAGGAAAAAAGTATAAATACATCGTAAGTTTCATCTTTTTAGCTTAAGCTAAAATTTTGTTAAAATATTGGCGACAAACCTTTGAAAGTGTTGTCTATCTAGTTACCTACTTTTGTTCTTCATGGTATTTCACCGATGCAAAAACTTTTTAACAAAATTCCGTATTACTCTTTTCTAAAAATATTTGGATGTAGCTATTTTTCTTGTCTTAGAACATATCATAGCCACAAATTTTAATTCCACTCAACTAAGTGTAGTGAACTCTTGAAGGGTCATAAATGTGTTAGTTCTACTAGAAAATTTACACTTCAGGACATGTAATGTTTAATGAAAAAAAAAATTTGTTTCCTAATGGTTTTCTCAATATTAAAGTTGTGTCAACTCCCATGCTTATTTCTTCATCATCCTCTTGGTTTCCAATTCCAAATAACATGAGCAATAGTCAACATCTCCTTATATGAATCATTAACAAACTTTTTAAAGAGTATAATCAAATCTTGGAAGATCCACTCTAGATTCACCAAGAGAGTTAGATAAAACAATTGTCATAATAGATTTTGAAAGTGCTTTATTAAATCAACCATCAACTGATACTGACATTGATAGGCTTTCAACTAGTGGAGAAACTCGAATGAATGATCATCTTATGATGACTAGAGGAAAAAGTCGAATCTTCAAACCAAAGTTACCATTTACTAGTCTTGTTGAGACTGCTGACAGTCTTGATACAACAAAGCTTCATAGAGTTGCAACACCTCTAAGTAATGATAATTTGAGGAAAGTAATGCAAGTTTAGTACCAAGCTCTTGTCCAAAATAAAAGATGGCATCTAGTGTTGCCATCCTCAAAGCATTCATTGGTTAATAGCAAGTGGATCTTTAAGCTCAAATATAAACCGAGTGCAAGCATCACACACTACAAAGCAAAGTTGGTTGTAAAAGGGATTTCACCAAACTATTGGAGTAAACTCCTTTAAAACATTTAGTCCAGTCATTAAGCCCACTACAATAAGAATTGTGCTCACTATAATTGTCTCAAAAGGATGAGAGACTTAACAGTTAGATATAAATAATGCATTTCTTAATTATTTTCTAGTTGAAGATGTGTATATGATGTAACACGAAGGATTTATTGATCTTGAAAGACCAGATTTTGTACACAAACTCAACAAGGTTATCTATGGGCTCAAACAAGCTCTTCGTGCTTGGTTTTATAGGTTGAAGTACATATTAATTACTTAGGATTTCAGTCTTTCTAAATGTGATACATCCCTCTTCTTGTTCATATCATATGATAAAATATTATTTATTATTGTTTATGTTGAAGATAATTTGATTACAGGAAATGACAAAACACTTGTGCATACTCTTATTCACTAATTAAATAGGATTTTTATTCTAAAAGACACGAGAGATTTTCACCACTCTCTTGACATTGAAGTCTATACAGACGAAGTAGGGTTTATCTCACACAATTAAGATATATTCACGAATTGTTAAAAAAAACTGAGACGAATCACTCTAAAACTTGTTCAACACCACTTATTATTGAGAAAATTTGTCTAAAGAGAAAGGAGGAGTCATGAGAAATCCAACTCCTTATAAACAAATTATAGGAGTACTTCAGTATCTTACACATTCCCGACCATATATAACTTACTCTATAAACAATCTAAGTCAATTTTTTCAACAACCAACCATGATTCATTAGAAAGTCATGAGAAAAGTCTTATGCTACTTGAGTGTAACTGTTTAAGTTAGGTTACATATCAAATACAATGACATAATATGTCTTATTGGGTTCTCCGATGTAGATTGAGCGAGTTGTCAAAATGATCGTCGTTCAATTGTAAGTTATTTTAAGTACTTTGATAATATTCTAATTTCTTGGTCATCTAAAAAATAACATATTATAGTTAAGTTAAGTACTCATTCTAAATACATATTGTCTCTCGCTAATTTTGTAGCAAAAATGTGCTAGATCACTTATCTTCTCAATTTTATTTTTCTTTACCTTTAATACCGATTGTATGGGTAGATAACTTAAGTACAATTATTCTTGCATCGAATCCTATGCACCATGCTCAAAACAAAACATTAGTGAAATCAATATTTATTTTGTTAGAGACATAATTTTGGGAAAAAAATCTTGAAATTCGATATGCACCATGATGAATTCTTGTTTTTAGTTCTTACATGACAAATATAATAAAAATATTACTTTGTGAGAAAAGTTAAAATAATTAGAACGTTATGGTTTCAAAATAACTACAATTACTATATTAAAATATTATGAGATTAATTACAAATTTGTTCCAATATTATTACTAAAATAAATTAGTTTTTATATATTTAATACTCCAGTTTTGGATGAATAGTTTATATAACTTTTTATTTTAATTGAATCTAATATAAATTATGTACCGCATTACAAAGTATTTTTCGTTAAAGAGAAAAAATATAAACACTAATACGCATTCATTCTAAACAACATCATTATCCACCATTATAATCTTTTTCTCATCGTCTCAACCAAATTCATAAAATATTAAATGAATGGTCAACAATCTCTTCATAGCAAATTCAACGTGTGCATATCCAAAAACTTCAGTTTCACATCTTTGACCTTTATTCGCATGTTCATCAATCGAATAAACGTATAAAAACAATGGGTAACAGATACCTTGAATTTACATAAAATAAACTTTCTTCTCTTAACATAATTTATTTTATACAGAAAATAACATCACATTAAATTACTTTCTTAAAGGACACAATAAAAATAATTACTATTTTGTATTAATGGATTCATTCGTACTTATTTAAACCTACGTCTTCCATTTGTTTAAATCTCAGGTCAACTTGGTTAAAGACACAAAGCTTATAAAGTGACAACTTCCACACTCTAATGCGAAAAACCACCTCCATGATTAACAAATTTCATACCATGCGAATCAACCTTCATTAGGCTAAACCAAATCAGATTAGACAAAAAAATTTGTAATCAAATTTTTATTAACCCATATCGAGCCAATGATATTAGCCCATCCAACTCGACCATTTTAAAATTCTTAATGTCTATGTGTTATTAACTTCCAAAGTAATTTTTAATTAAGGAAGCTTCTCTAAACGTTACAATACATGAGCTACTTGTGGAATTCTTAAAGCAAAATTTTTTCTTTAATGAAGCATAGCTCAAATGAGTTGGTGGTGGTGTCTGGACGCAGGATTCTTCCATGTATATACTCCACATCTTTTTTATGTTTATGCTTTTAAAACATGCTCGCACAATTATATTTCTAGTACCAGGTAAATTAAATTTACATTTTGATTTGACATATATTAATATAAAATAACAAGTTCCTCATGCTCAGAAATTATTTGTGAAGTTTTAGGTTTTCTAACAACTTTAGGTTTAATGTTTTGTTACGATAAATTAACAAAATTACGCTTAAAATTTTAATATTTTAAGAATTAATTTTTATTATGCCTTCCACTAAAGAGGACGGGAATATACAAATTTTGTATTTTTTTTTAGGGTTCAGATATTTTTTTATAATATAAAAAATGCAACTATATTTCTGGTTCGTAAAAGTGTTTTTTTTAGACATTTTAAATATATTTATAACATTTTCAGGAAATGTTATTCTTGTCAATATAATTTCTAGTAAACATTGGTCAAATATTCAAGTGATATAAAATTTTATATTATGATTCGAAGTAGTTAAATTACTTAGATATAGTGGTGTCTTAGTAATGTCATACGATTAGAAGACTTAGTGGATATACAACAAAATACGAAATAAGATCAAATATAAGGATAAATTTCTTGAATCCTAAACAATTATACAATATCTCGATTGGTTAAGCTTAGAAAGAACTAGCATTTACCGATATAGAAGAATAGAATATTTTCATCTTCCAAACAACACTTCCGATATAATCTCTCTAATATCTTTTGAATACAATATTAAATATTGAAATATTTATGTTTTTAATTTAACATAAAAGTAATATTTTTTTAGAATTCAAATAAACAAAATGATCTTAAACTATTTTCTATCCAACATATTTAAACGTAAATATAAATATTTTTATCACAACTAATTTAATGTAGAGTTGAATCTGATAAAAATATTTCCAAAAACCCCTGTCCTGTATTGAATATGATAGCACAATATATACATGAAATACAGAAACATTCTAACATCCCATACCCTTTTGAGACACCAAGAACCCTGGCGGCATTTTCATGTACACATCTTCCTCAAGATCGCCGTGCAGAAAAGCATTATGGACATCCATTTGATGAAGTTCCCGGTCTTTGGCTACCGCCACTGCCAACACTCGTCCGAATGGTGACCATCTTTGCCACTGGGGCAAAAGTCTCGTCATAGTCAATCCCCTCAACTTGGTGATTTCCCAAGACAACTAATCGGGCTTTGAAGCGTTCAACGCTCCCATCGAATGATATTTGATTTTATAAATCCACTTGCAACCCGGAGGCTTCTTCCTCGCTAGGTAGAGGAGTAATGTCCCATGTTTCATTACTTTGGAGGGCTCGAATTTCACTAGCTATGGCATCTCTCCATCTAACATCCCGAACGACCTTCAAAGAAATGCACAGGTTCTCTCTCCGCATGAAGGGTCGCAAGAAAGGTTCGGTGGGGGAAGGAGAATTTAGCACAATTTAAGTACTTTGTCAAACTGTAAGGCATACCCGAGGAAGCCGAATGTGGAGTGCGAATTGAGGGACCGAGTTGTAAAGTGGTGTTAGTGACATAATCACGAAGCTTCACGAGATGGCTTTCGTACATGAAGACCTTTCCCCGGGGATGCGGGGACAAGTATGCTCCTCGGGAACCTCTAGTTCCGTCATCATAGAGTCGGTTTGTTCCGGTGGGAGAACGATCCGGGTGGGAGGCTCTTGTTCATGGCATTCGGCGTGGCCCTCCCCGAACTCAGTTATGGGCACATCTTCGTTGTGGGGTTAACGTCATCGGTCTCCGTAACGTATTCCGCATTGTTCATTGCACCAAGTCCAGGCAATGCTTCCTCGACAATGCCAACATCAACAGTAGGCAATCCTACCTCCGAATGTCTACTGTGGGCAAGAGAGGCAAACGGAATTCATGTTCTACAAACTTAACATCTCTCGAAGTCCAGAAGACTTCTCTTTCCGGATCAAACAATTTCCAGCCCTTTTTTCGATTGAATATCCAACAAATACATTCTTGCGACTTCTACTTGCAAATTTGTCACCTTTCCTATCTTGGTTATGTGCATAACACAAGCATCCAAATACCCGTAGATGGTCATAAGTGGGTGGCTTCCCATTCAATATTTCATATGGAGTTTTTCCATGGAGAACGGTTGAGGGTGTACGATTGATCAAGTATCCTGCGGTCAAAATGCATTCTCCCCGAATTGAAGTGGAAGTTCTCCCTGAAATCGTAGAGCACGAGCTACATTTAGGATGTGTCGATGTTTTCGTTCGGCTCTCCCATTTTGCTGAGGTGTTCCGAGTGCATGAGGTTTGATGGAGTATCCCATGTTGCTGAAAATATCGTTGAAGACACATAAACTCGGTTCCATTGTCACTTCGTAATATTTTGACTTGTTTCTCGTATTGTCGTTCTATTAAGGCGATGAAATGCATTAAGGTTTGTGACACATCTTTCTTATTATTCAAGAGATATATCCACACGGCTCAAGAACAGTCATCAACCAAAGTGAGAAAGTAAGATGCACCACAAGACGAGGGAGTTCTATATGGACCCCATACATCACAATGTATTAAATCAAATATATTGGATGCTTGAAAATCACTTAAAGGAAATGTGTTTCTGCATTGCTTTGATCTCTCACACACTTCACACACACGAGTTGTATCAGTATTTCTATTCACGCTGTTCGGATGCGGAATTTTTCTAACAATCTGGTAGGCGAGGATGTCCCATTCGCTTGTGCCAAATCTCTAGTTGATTTTACGCATTGGTGCGATACGCATTTATGCCACTCACACCACGATACCAATAGAGTCCCTCTTTTCGTTCACCCGCTCCAATCGGCATCCTCGAAGTGTGGTCTCGCATTGCACAAAATCTATCGGTAAAATGTCTTGTACATTTTACTTCATTAGATCAATTGTGATACTGAAATCAAATTGCAATTCAATTTCGGAACATATAGAACATGTTTAAGTTTCGAGTCCTCCATCAAGGAAAACCGATCCTTCTTTGTTTGCCAGCACCAATTCACCATTTGGTAGTCCCACTTGGGCACCCTTCCAAGGCTCGACTCTCCCTCAAGTTTTCTAGTGTTCTGTCATATGATTAGAGGCGCCACTATCAATAATCCACAAGTCACATGCTTTCTTACCAGTCATCTTTTCGGTTTCATTTGCCTTGCGAGAATTCAACATTCTTGTCAAGATCTGCCATTGCTCATTACTCGATCCTGCGACTTCGGTTTTCGGTTGAACCAACGTTATCCGCACCGATGTGCGCCATATTGACGCGAGCCGTTCCTCCTTTTCCTCGGAAGGTTCTGTTCTTTGTTGATTTTTTTCATCGTTTTTATCGGTTCGTGGTCTCTCTCCCCACCATTACGGGTAACCAATGATCTTGAAGCAATTGCCTTTGTCATGTCCCTTCCTTCCACACTTGCATGCAAACAAGCTGATTTTTCTTTCGCTTCATTGCGCAACTTGTTCCTGGTTTCCGCTCGCATAGCCATTCCCACGATCATTCCTCGCTCTTCTTTAGACACTGGTGATTGTTCTCACCCTTTCTTCTTGCACCATGGTGCCATACACCCGATTCAGCGAGGGTAATGGATCTGTTGCCAAAACATTTGACCGTGCAGTTCCATAGCCCTCATCATCTAGCCCCATCAAGAACCGATGAATTTTTTCTTCTTCTCTTCGTTTCTCAAGTTGCGTCATAATATTACACTTGCATCCCCCACATCTACACTTGTAGGATTTGCTCGTAATTTGCCAGTTCATCCCACAACGTTTTCAACTTCCCATAATAGGAAACCATAGTCATTCCTTGTTGTTTGCATTACGCCAACTCGACTTTAGCTGTCTGGATTCTTGGTCCGTTCACGATCGAGAATCGTTCCTTGATGTCATCCCATAGGTCCTTTGCGTTTTCCATGTATGCAACGAGTGGAACGCAAACTAGGTTCTATAGTGTTTAGTATCCAAGATACAAGCATCGATTGAATTGTCCACCAATCTTCTATCTCGGATGTGTCTTCTTCGGGTTCCTTATGAGTTCCATCTATGAAACCCCATTTCCTTCGAGCCGCGAGAGATATCTTCACGGCCCTTGCCCATTCCTCGTAATTCTCTCCTCGTAATTGTACCTGTGTAATCACATTTCCGGGATTATCATCGGCACTCGGATCGTATGGCGATGGTGTTTTCTTCACCGTCTCTCCTCTCTCTGCCATTTTAGAAGTACGATTGTGTTCTCGAGTGCATTGGATATCGGAGTTTGGTTTGCTCCGATACCATGATAAAAATATTTCCAAAAACCCCTGTCCTGTATTGAATATGATAGCACAATATATACATGAAATACGAAACATTCTAGGCTATAATTACGCTAACCATTATAGTCGGTATCCTAAATTTGTCTATTAACGAGATATGACATTAATGTGCATCACATGTACATCATTTGTCATGCCAAGCTAAATATGGAAAAAATTAATCATGTAGAATCATGGCATGATACTGGTATTTGTAATCGTATATTCTATGTTTATCGAATCCAGTATATTTTCTCATGTACGAAGAAAAAGAATTCAAAGACATATTTTGTGAGACTTTCTGTCTAAAATTTCTGTGCACTAATGATTTTCCTTTTGGCTGTATTTGTTTTGGGAATAGAATAATCTTATATTTGGGATTCAGATATTTCTATTATAATAAATAATAATAATAATAATATATATTATTATACTATATTGGATTGTTTTTCTTCGAACAAGATTATGAATATATAATCAACCAAACATAAATTTTTATTCTTGTCACGAGTTCTATCAAATATATTAGATAAGGTATTAATTTGGTTTGTGGGATATTCTGTCAACCGATAAACTTTTACATGTAATAAAATTTTGTCTCATATAAAAGAGAGAATTTAAGTATTCTAATAAAAGTAACATTTTAATTTTTTTAGATTACAAAATAAAAATAAAAATAAAATAAATGTATAGCTTTTAAGTATTGAAATATCATATAAATTATAAATTATCTCACAGTTTCAACAAATATTTTATCCATTAAACAGTGAAAACGTTTAGAACAGGAACTGTCTCAGAACATGAAATTAATGATAAATAACTTGTTCCATGAGCATCAGGTGCATCCCCTGAACCTCACTTCCCTTCTGATTTCAAATCCATGTCTCCTTCTCCGTTACTCGCGCTCTGCATCACTCTGTTGCTTGGGTTATCGCGTTGCACCCACGCGCTCAAGCTCCCCTTCAGAGTCAACGATGTTCTTCCTGTTCTTCCCCACGGAATTTCGTGGCCCCTACTCAACAACCTCCACAGCGCCGTCGATTTGCTCCCCTCCTTCGTCGCCTCTGTCACGCCCAACAACGCTTCCGTTCGATGGACAGGGGCTTGCTTTTACCACAATCAAGCCTCCCTCCAGCTCATCACCGCCGCCTCTGACCTCGGTTCCGGCGCCGCCGTGCTCCGTCTCAAGGTTTGCTCTGTTTCTTTGATGTTGTTTTTAGTTTGGTTTCATCGTCGCGAGCGCGATTGGTGATTGAACTTGTTGTGAAGTGTCTGTGTCGTTTATTGTGTGAATGACCAAATTAGTGTGAGGTCTGGGTCATTTTAGTCATCAAGATTTAAAAAGGCATGCAATTACCTCATATTAAGCTTTTTGGGATTATTTATTATTAAAATATATTTTTAAGAACTAATTTAAAACAAAATTTAAGACTATTTTATTATAAAATTATGAAATTAATTATAATTTTTTACAAATTCATTACTATATTGGATTTTTATTGTTTTAAAAGCTAATTTTATAGCATTCCACGTTATTGAACATTTATCTTGTGTTTATTGGTGTGAATTCTGCAGCAACTATTCCACAATGATAGGCTTTTAAAGTTCTGGCGCACTTGTTAAAAACCATTTAATTAATGTAGTAGATGGTTACTGTGTATTAGTAATTACTACTCCCTTGTTACAAAACATTAGTCTTTTCACATTGACAAAAAATTGTTCAATACAAATTTAGTAAAAAAAATACCTCTTTTCAACTACTTTTCTGTATGTAGTTGGATCCGTATTCATTATTTATAGTTATATGTAGACATATTGTTCAAAAAAGATAGGACTATTGTGTTTTTTGAAAAACATGAGTATTATCTTGGAAAAAATAAAAAGCTAAATAGACTATTGTTTTAGAATGGATAGAGTATTAATTATATGAGTTCTATTGAACAAAAAGAGCTTAAAAAAAGTTAAAATGACTATTTTTTAATAAAAGACTAAAAAACTATTGTTTTAACATAGAAGGAGTATCAATATACTCTGTTATGACCGTATCTATGAAGAACCTCATGGACCAATCCACCCCCATTATAATGTGAATTATAACATTCGCCTTTCTATAGACAGAAGCTGCAAACAGCTGGACCTGCATGGATCTGTATGTTTTTGCAACACCATACAGGATTACATGGGACTACTATTTCGCTGCCGGAGAATACACTCTGAAGTTTGATTCGTGGGAAGAACCTGCAGAGTTGGAATATGTATTTTCCCTATCTTTATGTCGTTTTTTGTTCTTAGTCTTTTTTTTTTTTTTTTTTTTTTTAATGTTGAATAACAACTACAGAAAGATAATATTATCTCTAAATTATCAGGTAAAGCAGCACGGGGTCTCTGTGTTTCTCATGCCATCAGGGATGCTGGGAACGCTGCTTTCTCTAATTGATGTCTTACCTCTATTCTCTAACACTGCATGGGGTCAGAATGCTAACTTAAATTTCCTAAAGAAACACATGGGAGCTACATTTGAGAAACGCAGTCAGCCTTCGCGTGCAGCTATTGATCCTGCAGATGTTCATTCTGGAGATTTTTTAGCCGTGTCAAAAATCCGTGGTAGGTGGGGAGGTTTTGAGACTCTAGAAAAGTGGGTAACTGGTGCATTTGCTGGTCATACAGCAGTTTGCTTGAAGGATGAAATGGGAAATTTATGGGTTGGTGAATCGGGCCATGAGAATGAAAAGGTACAAAATGTGGAAGATTTTACTGTGTGTTCAGTAAGATACACTCACATAAATAAATATACATATTATAGACTTATCAAATTGGTTTTCTAAAATTATCCAGAACTTAATATCATCATCCTAGTACGTAATGAATGTTGTAATTGATTTGTAGTAGCTGAGGGTAGTTACTAAGCTCCATTCCGTTTTTATTGATGATGTTAACATAAAACAGGATTATGTTGATGGTTTATCTTTGTGCAGGGTGAAGAAATAATAGCGTTAATTCCATGGCATGAATGGTGGACATTAGCTCTTAAAGATAATTCCAACCCGCAGATAGCCTTGCTTCCCCTGCATCCAGAGTTGCGTGCAAGATTCAACTCCACTGCAGCATGGGAATATGCGCGGAGCATGTCTGGCAAGCCATATGGTTATCATAATATGATATTCAGTTGGATTGACACAGTAGCTGACAACTATCCTCCACCTCTTGATGCTCACTTGGTATTACTCTTTCTCTATTTGTATAAAATTAACACAATTATGTGATTGGACCCAAATTTGTATTCAAAATATGTTCTATCATGAAGAAGCTACTGTATTATTTTTATCAAGGGGGTAAGTTCCAACTGATTGCTAGCAAATTTGAATCTTGACTGGATTTAGGGTTGGTCTGTGGGAGAAATATTTAGTACATAGGGCTTTCAGAAGCAAATTATTGTCAAGAGACACTAAATGGAAAGATGAACATGGGATGGAAGGAAAATTTAGAGTACAAGGATTAGGTGATGCTATTCTTACCGATTCGGTGGTGATATATATATATATATATATATATATATATATATATATATATTGTTGGGATAAAAATATTTGATTAGCTAAATTATAGGTTTGTATAGTGGTACAAAATATTATATAATCAGAACTTCTTTTATTTTGTCCCGATTTGTTGGAGTAAAATACTATAAGATCATAGTACCTGTGAACAAAAATAATATGAATAAAAATTATAGAATGAATTTTATGTTTTTCAATTTGGTAGCGAGAACTTATAATTTTTTTTCTTTCTAAAGGCTTGAAGATCTTAACCTGGAGAGATGACAAAAAAACTAATTTTAATGGTTGTTCAATCTGAATATAGAATTCATTCTATAATTTTTATTCATATTATTTTATACACAGATACTATGATCTTATAGTATTTTACTCTAACAAATCAGGACTAAATAAAGAAAGTTCTGATTATATAATATTTTGTACCGTCATACAAACCTATAATTTAGCTAATCAAATATCTTTATCTTAACACTCCGCCTCAAGTTGATAAATGGATGTCATACATTCCCAACTTGTCCAATAATCTATCTCCTAAAAATCTGACTTGTCACAGCTTTGGTAAGAATGTCTGCCAGTTGATCTTTAGATCGAATATTTGGCAATTTTAGAATATTTTTATCAAGCTTTTCCTTGATGAAAAATCTATCAACCTCCACATGCTTCATCCGATCATGTTGGACAAGGTTGTGAGCAATGTGGTGCGCAACTTTATTATCACAATACAACTGAATGAGACATGTATGTGCATACCTTAAATCCTGGAGAAGTAGTCTGAGCTACAAACCTTCACAAAGTCCAAGAATCATTCCTCTAAGTTTAGCTTCTGCACTGGATCTAGCTACAACTTTCTGCTTCTTACTTTTCCATGTGACAAGATTACCTCCTACAAATGTAAAGTATCTAGAGGTTGATCTTCTATCATCAAGAGCACATGCCCAATCTGTATCAGTATAAACTATCACATCCTTGTAGTTGGAGTTATTCTTGAACATAACTCCTTTTTCAGGAGTAGCTTTTATGTACCTTAAAATTTGTATAACAACATCCATGTGTTTTTCACCTGGATTGTGCATGAACTGACTAACTACACTAAGAGCATAAGCTAAATCTGGCCTAGTGTGTGAGAGATACATCAATCTCCCTACAAGTCTCTGATATCTTCCCTTATTGGTTGGAGTTTGATATTCTTCAATGCACAACTCCAATCCCTCTTTAATTAGAGAATTTGCTGGTTTGCATGCTGTCATTCCAGTTTTTTTCAGTAAATCCAATGCATACTTTGGTTGTGAGAGAAAAATACCTGATTTTGATCTTGAGACCTCAATTCCAAGAAAATATTTCAAAGGACCAAAATTCTTTATCTCGAATTCCTTTGCCAAGTACTCTTTTAATGTCTTGCGTTCCTCTAGATCGTTTCCCGTAACTATCATGTCATCAACATAGACAATAAGAATTGTAATCTTTCCTTACTTTTTCTTTAGAAATAATGCATGATCTTGGTTGCTCTGTTGATATCCAAAAGCAAGCATTGACTTGGTGAATCTATCAAACCATGCTCGTGGCGATTGTTTTAGTCCATCCAATGATTTTTTCAACTTGCATACCTTCTTGCTATGTGTATTCGGGATCCCACATCCTTCTGGTAGCTCCATATAAACTTCTTCAAACAATTCCCCGTGTAAGAAGGTATTTTTTACGTCAAATTGTTGTAAAGACCAATCAAGGTTTACAGCTAGAGATAACAATACTCGAACTGTACTAATTTTGGCTACGGGAGCAAACGTTTCAGTGTAATCTATTCCATATGCTTGTGTGTACCCTTTTGCCACTAATCTAACTTTGAATCTCTCAATTATGCCATCTGCATTAAATTTCATAGTATATACCCATCGACATCCTACTGGTTTCTTTCCAATTGGACAATCTACTAATTCTCATGTTTTATTTCTTTGCAAGGATCTCATCTCATTCATAGCATCCTTCCACTTGGAGTCAGCTAAAGCTTCATGCACATTGTTAGGAATAGATACAGTAGATAATTGACTTATAAATGTGATATTTGAGTTAGACAAATTCTGGTTACAAACATAATTACTCATAGGGTATATTGTCTTACTGGTGAGGTCAGGATCATAAGTAGGCTTAGGAATACCTCTAGTGATACGATCTGATAGAATTCTTTTTTCTGTATTAGGTTCTTGAGGGGACAATTGGTGTGGTATATCATCAGCATCAATAGGCAAATTTTCGATTTCGACATGCTCAAAATCTTCCTCATTATGTGGTTGTTGATCATAACATTGTTGCATACTTTCATCATCTCTTGATACAACTTTGTAACTTTCTTTCTCCAATTTGACCTCAATATCAATTTCTTGAGGAGCAAAAGTCTGAACTTCATCATAATTCTCCCCCTGAATTTTAGACTCGGGGGAAAAATATATCAAAGTTTCATGAAAAATTACATTTATAGTAGTAAACATTTGCTTGGTTTGTGGATTGTAGTATCGATATCCTTTCTGGTAATCCGCATAGTTAAGGAACACACACCTTTCAGCTCTAGGAGACAACTTACTTCTCTGATGCTTGTGTAAGTGAACATAAGCAGCACAACCAAAAACTCTATGTGTTAGTTCAACAATTTTATGATTTACTACTGCATCTATAAGTGATTGAAGAGGTGTTTTATACTAAAAAAACCTAGACGGTGTTCGGTTGATAGTGTATACTGCATATGTAAGAGTTTCTCCCCAATATATTGTTGGCATGTGAGCTCCAATCAGTGTAGCTCGGACCACCTCCAATAAATGACGGTTTTTTCGTTCTGCCACCCCATTCTGTTATGGAGTATTTGGACAAGATATCTGATGAATAATTCCTTTGGCTACTAAAAAATGTTGAAGTTCTGATTGCATATATTCTTCTCCGTTGTCACTGCGCAGTATCTGAACTTGTGCTTTGTACTGAGTCTCAATCATTTTGCAGAATTTTTGAAATAGTCCTCCAACTTCACTTTTAGACTTCATCAAATATAACCAAGTCATTCGAGTACAATCATCAATAAACGTTACAAATCACATTGAGCCACTCAACGTTGTAACCTTAGATGGGCCCCATACATCAGAGTGAATGATCATAAAAGGAAGATAACTTTTATTTGAAATTAAAGAAAAATATGTTCTATAACTCTTTGCAAGCTCACAAACATCACAATAAAAAGTTGAAGTGTTTACTTGGTCAAATACATTTGGAAATAATTTCTTTATGTAACCAAAAGATGCATGTCCTAGACGCTTATGCCATAACCAAATATCCTCGCCTTTTCTTACTTCTTGAAACCTTTTTGTTGCTTGCACTTGACCAAGTTTCTTTGAATATTTTTCTATCAGGTCCAGGTAATATAACCTTCCTCGCCTAATACCACAACCAATCGTCTTCCTCGTTTGAATGTCCTTAAAAACACAAGAGTCAGACCCAAAAATTACAACACATAAAAGAACTTTGGTTATTTGCAAGACTGACAATAAGTTATATTTAAGAGAAGGAACAACAAGGACAATATCAAGATTCAAATTGTTTGAAATAGAGACAGTTCCTTCTCCAATAATAGTGGATTTACTACCATTGGCTGTGGAAATACTTTTTTGTGAGGAAAGTTTAAGATTTTTAATCTGTCTAACATCAAAAGTCATATGATCAGAATATGCAGAGTCAATTATCCATGCATTATTCAGAATGGTAGATGTGCTTATTAAAGTCTTACCTTTGGAATCATCACTACTTGCGATTGTAGCAAGCATCATGCCTTTGTCGTCCTCTTTGTCAATGACAGTTACAGTAGCAACAGTTGGATTTCTTTTTGAATTCTTCTTTGATGCTCGACTGTGATCCCACCACTCGAGGTATCCTATGATTTCATAGCATCGTTCTTTGGTGTGTCCATCCTTATTACATTGAGTACACTTGTAGTTACCTTTTTCAAAATCTTTTGATTGCTTCGATTTGCTGTGATGATTTGTTGGCTGCTTCTTTGTCATCATAGTTGTGGAATCAGAAATCATATATTCTGTTTTCAACGTTGTTCGTCGGACTGTCTCTCTCCGGGTTAATGCATAATATTCTTCTAAATCAAGTGTCATTTCTTTGCGCAAGATTTCTCCACGAACTTGTTCAAAATCATCATCCAGTCCAGCAAGGAATATATGCACCTTTAATCTTTTAATAGACTTCTGATATGACTTCACATCATCAGGGTCATTCATGACTACTTTGTCATGATGATCCAATTCCCTAAAAATTTCAACCAACTCCCCATAATATTCAGTTAAGGTTCTATTGTTTTGTTTTGCAGTGAATACCCTTTGATTCAGGGCAAACACCTGTAGCTCATCACTTCTATCATAAAATGCCTTTGACAAAACATTCCAAATATCGAGGGGAATGGGTAAGCGAAGATACCTTTTCATGATTTCTGGCTTCATGGACATCAATAACCATTTTTTCACTTTTTTGTTTTCAGCATACCATTTTTCATATCACTCATCGTTCTCTGTTGGAGGCTTCACCTTTCCACGGATGTATGACAATTTTTCCCTCTCTCGCAATGTGCATCTCCATTAATTGTGAACATACGTCATAATTGGATTTATTTTGGATGATGTCTACGTTGAAGACACTTTCAGATTGAACACCCATTGGAATTAGTTTTTCTGCCATCTCTCTAGTTAAGATCTCCAAGGATTTAGAAAGAAAAAGAAAAAAATTCTAAGCTCGGTACCAAATTGAAAAACATAGAATTCATTCTATAATTTTTATTCATATTATTTTTGTATACAGATACTATGATTTTATAGTATTTTACTCCAATAAATCAGGACTAAATAAAGGAAGTTCTGATTATATAATATTTTCTACCGCTATATAAACCTATAATGTAACTAATCAAATATCTTTATCCTAAAAAAAAAAATATATATATATATATATATATATATATATATATATATATATATATATATATATATTTCAAGAAAAAAAGGTTCAAGTGTTCTTTCCTACACTTCTGCAATGCTGAACTGCCCTCCCTCCGTTTGCCCTTTGGTACTCTCAAATGCGAAGGAAACATATACATTGTAGTTTTTTCCTATTATGTAGGTTCTGGTTCTAAGAGCAATGGAAGTATGTTTCTGAATAACATGTTCTGTGCAGGTAATTTCTGTCATGTCTATGTGGACAAGATTGCAGCCAGCTTATGCTGCAAACATGTGGAATGAAGCGCTGAATAAGCGGTTGGGGACTGAGGTATATATTGGTGTTGGTCCACAATAGACATGCTTACGTGAATATATTGTCCTATGATTTCTTTTACTTTATGTCTAATATTTCACAGTCCAAACAAGTGTGGACGTCTCATGTTCTTTGAGATTTTGATTTCTAATGACCCAAGTGTTTCTGGTGCTATTCTGGACTGCTTACTTTTCATGGCAATGCAAGACAAACTACACAAGATTCAAGACAAAAATTCAATTTTAAAATACAAATTTGGTTTGAGGACTCGCCTTGATATTTTTAAAATATGGAAGTGCTTTAGTCAAATGAGAAATTTTTCTAGTTTGTTAGTTGGGCTTAAATTTCAACTACTTCATCGATGATAAATAATATTATAGTTTTTATACAATTTTCAATGCTTTTGTTTTGCTTTTACCAAGCATCAAATGTTTGATTAGTTCCTCACTACAAAATTCATTGAACATATGTGTCGGGCACATTTTGGTGTGCCATTTATTGTTATCAAGCTCTCATTAATTTTTGTTTTCAGGGTTTGGATTTGCACGGCATTCTAGTCGAGACTGAGAAGCGGGGGATAGCGTTTGATCAATTACTTACTATTCCCGAACAAGATGACTGGGTATACAGTGATGGAAAATCAACAACATGTGTTGCCTTTATTCTTTCCATGTATAAAGCGGCTGGAATATTCGGCCCTGTTTCTAGCTCCATTCAAGTAACTGAGTTCACTGTAAGCCCAGTGTCCTTAGTGTTTATAACGAACCTCTGGTCGTTACGGTTTCTTTTTCTTATGATTCTATGTTGTTATATGCAGATTCGTGATGCATACATGCTTAGGATTTTTGAGAATAACCAAACACGTTTACCAAGATGGTGCAACAATGAGAAAGACGGGCTTCCGTTCTGTCAGATTCTTGGCGAATATAAGATGGAATTGCCTGGCTATAACACTTTGGATCCATATGCCAATATGAACGAGCACTGTCCTTCCCTTCCTCCAATTTATAATAGGCCTTTTAAATGTTAGATCTTTCTCAAGGCATTTCCCTTTTCTGGTTTGCCTGTTAGTTCACTACAGTGTGGAATTGTCTACAAACTGAGTAAGAAGAATGTGCAGTTCAAGACTTCACCTTTACCCTTTCAAATTGATCAAGGGACATTGTATATAAGAAATTTACTTTGCTATGATTTGATTTGATGTTAAAGACTTCAATTATCAACTTTGGTAGGATAATTATGAAGTTTCTGACCGACTAAGTCCTGCTATCTCAACGTATAGGAAACATGTCACCTAAGATCATTACAAATATTATTCCTGAAATCTTGATTCTGAACTTTAAGAAATATAGTATCTTAATTTTAATGTATAAATGAAATATTAGATAAATTTAGATTAATGTAGAATTATTAGAATAGAATACAAACGAAAGAAATTTTCAATACAACAATAAATTTTGAAAATAAATTATTAAATATATAATAATTAGTATATATGATGGTATAATTTATTCCTTTCATATTTAATATATATATAATAGTTTACATCATTTGACCATTTGGCGCCACCAAAATATAGCCATCGAACGTTACTATGACTTCTAATTCCTGATCAAGGGACGTAAGACATGATCATGTACCCAAAACTTCTAGAAAACAACTTTGAAATTATTGGCAACTTCAATCACCACATAGATAATTCCATCTTTAGTAATAGGAATCACAAATATATTAAATTATTTGTAGTATAAAATTATTATAAAATGGAAAATAGTTTAATTTAAATCAAAATAATTTTTGCCACGACAAAAATATGGAAGAACAATATTTTCGCATTATTATGATCTTCCAAATCATTTGATTATATTTAGTGACAATATGTCATTAAAATAAATTTTATTTGTAGAAAACGGATATAGGTGTGATGTTTAGCACATATTATAGCGGTTTTGTTTACCAATTACTTCAAGTTGAATTTTAGTATTTTTATTTATTTATTGGAAAACTTATTTAAATATTAATATTGTTTGATAAATATACCCATTTTAATAGTTTGTCATGATTCATTTAAATGTTATTTCAACTTTTTTTTTAAAAGCTACTTCAAATAGTCTTTTATTTTTTGGAAAAAAGTACTGCTTTATATTTTGTTCTTCAAAATATTTATTAAATAATTTTATTATTTTTATGTAAAATTTATTTTATTATCTTTTTTTCTTCCTTTTCTTATTAACGGCATCTTCTGGTTGAGGTTTACTTTTACTAGCATTATATATAGGACATTGATACATTAATCAAGTGATAAAATATGATATCTTAATTGTGTGACATTTTTTTTCTAAATTTTAAATTTATTTGAAAATTTGTAAGAATTATTAATAGAAAAAGTTCATTTAAAATATTTTTAATAATAATTTTAAAATTGTTGAATTTTTTTATATTTTATGAGTTTCATTTTATATTTATGATTCTTATTTTATTTTTTAATAAATTTAACTTAAACTTTATTTATTTAAAATTTTTAAGGTACAACCTACGGATTAAAAAAATATTTAATTAATATATACGGAAGTTCACATTCTAAGACCAGTTTCTAGAATTTCCGTGATGCTCCTTCTCGCCAACTGCAGTCAAAAGATGGGTCTAACGGGGTACCTCTATGATATTATTTTATAATTTCTTGTTTGTTAAGAAACACTTAAAAAAAAACTTATATTCATGATAAAACTGTGACGGAAAGTAATTATTCATAATGTATGACTTTTTGATAGATTTGAAAAATTTATGATTAACATAAATTTGCGACAGATTAATTCCATCTCTAAAGTTACCGTATTGACATATCACTAGATTTATAACTTATTAGTTTCGCATTTTGTGACGTAAGAAAATCTTTTGTAAAATTTTATCACAATAAAACGTATCACAAGCGAAATTCGTCACAAATTTATTAGGAAGTAACAATTAGCAAGACATTCTTGTGAATGATTGTTTCTCCTCACAATATATATTTTGAAATTATTATTTTATCACATACTATCATATCAGCTTTATGAACATATATATATATATATATATGTGAAGATCTATACATTTTAAAATTCTATAAGAATAATTTAATTTTATGTATAGTTCATCCACTCTTACAAAAAAAAATGAATAAATCATCCATAAATATTTAATTCAACTATTTTTTTCATAAATAAGTAACTCTTAGTAAACATTTTACAACAAATTTAAATATATATATATATATAAAACTAGTTTTAAATTTAATATAATTTTATATTTAAAATAATGAAAAATTATTTTGAGGTATTAGTTTTAATTGGAAACAAATCAAATCTACTCACGTAACTTAAATTTTAAAATAAACCCAAACAAATAATAGTTAATATTTCTTCAATAAAATATAACTTATAAATATTTAAATTTTTTATTTTTTTCATTTAATTTGTTTTTAAAATATTTGAAAATAGTATACTTGAAAATTTTGTCCACAGTTGAGCTATAAATGCAATAATTAAAGTTAATAAAATTTCTTTTAATATCACTCAATAATTATGATATAAAAAAATAATTTGGATGGATGAGATGAATGCAGTTTCATTTACAAATGCATAGTATCAAAATCTATCTTATATCCTCTGTGTGTCTTTTAAGCATTTTCAACTAACCATTAAATATGTGTTACCCAGAATTTGTTTTATTTTTAATATTAGAGTATTGAATAAAAAGGTTACCCCCATTGAATCTAATCAATCATACATTTTAATGCGATAGTCAAATTCTAAAAATCAATATTTTCCTTCATTTTCTTTGGGATGAGGTGTAAATATTGAAAACTAAATTAACAATAAAGACCAAGCATTAAATTTAAAATTATTATAAAAATAAGAAAAGAAAAGTAAAAATAACCAAATATTTTAGATGCTAAACTAAAGTTGAATTAAATCACGGTTTGATCTCATTAATAATTATTTTATCTAGTTTATGAAAAAATTTTAAACACTAATTCAGTGTCTTTTTTAATAAAATTATTTTAAATAACTTATCTAAACAGATACTTTCAAAATTTTTATATTTTATTTTATTCGTAAAATGACTATTTTTATTATTTTTAATATTCACTATTCATTTTAATCATTACACTATTTATATTATATATTATTTATCATTTCAACATTGATTAGCATAATTAATAAAAATATAAAACCAATTTAATTGTATATATTTTAATTTTATTTTGGGGTTATTCAGAATTATTTAAGATACAGGATAATATTAACTCTAGAATACACTATATAAAACAATGTAATAATTGAAAACAAAAGTTGCAACGAAAATAAATAAAAATTGCTAGAATTTAAATTAGTTAAAAAACTAAAACAAAATTATCAACAGAATTAAGTAAACATTTATTTAAATGTCAGATAAGCTTATTCATTTATATAATTTATATATTTCAACAATTATTTTACTATCTTATAACTTAATGATTTTCGGTTATCAAGCTATTTGTTAAATTTTCATTTTTTAACTAGCACGTTAATTATTGTACCTAATGTATTATTTAAAATACATAAAATCTCAAAATTTAAATTGTATAAATTACAAAAGAAAGGGTTAACGACAATTAAAACAAAGAAAAAGAGAGAGTCTTCTAAAATCCACCGAGTCTTGTTTATACGAGAATATATATTCGTGAGAATTTTATATACGATTGTTTGCTAAACCATTAAATTTGTCCTATAATTTCGATCTAAAACTATGGCAACATATTCGTTAATTACCTTTTAATATGACTGAAATTAATTGATTTTTTTTAAGATGTCACCTTTCATTAATGATTTTTATTTTATAATTTTAATAAACTTTAAAAGAAAATAAATGTGATATAAAGTACGTTATTAACATAATTAGAGTTTGGTTAGACTCTTTTTTTCATAAATACTTATGTGAAGAAAAATAAAAATAAAATAATGAAATTCACATTTTTCGTGTAAACTAGAATAAATTTATATGAACAAGTTAAATATTAAATTACACAATTTGTACAAATTAAAAATGCATAAACTAATTTTAATTTATAAGAAAAAGGTTAATTTTAATTTTCTAAAAATCTGTAAACTTATCTAAATTCAAATCATAGTACAAAGTCAAAAGATCACAGAACTAACAACTGCAGTCAAACATTGGTCAAAGGGGCTGCCTCATCGTTATTCTTTTTCTAATTTCGTGTTCGCAAATCTCTGTGTTTTCCTTCATTTTCTTCAAGATGAGGTATAATTCAATATTGAAGAAATTTTAAAACAACGATCGTAAATGAAATAGAAACAAAATTTGAAATTTGAAACTTACTGAAAAGAAAAGTATTCACCAAATCTTCTAGAGACTGAAACTAAACATGAATTAAATAAACTAATAGGTCAATATATTGAATTAAACTACCCTCAGTCTCCGAGTACGTCTTCGAGGTAGATTACATTTTAAATAAGTTATTAATTTCTTTTTTGATAAGAACAAACAAGTTAAATTTAAGAATGATACAATAATACTCCAACTCTTATACCTTTTAATTAGGTTAGTAGAAGTTAGGTTTCTATTCAAATTATAAATTAAGTGTTAAAATTAACCTATTTCAAAATTAAAACTATTTATAAATTCTTCTCTTTTCTTTAAAATTCGTCTTTATTACCTGCTTTTGCTTTATTTAGAATTATAGAGAGTATTATTATACACAAACCCCTACGCTAACATTAATTAATTTGTATTATTTTAACCCGTAATATAATAATGATTTTTGACATTTGTGGGTATAAAATGAACCAATAATTGAAGGGAATCTGTCAAAGTCAAACAAAGCACTCCTTATTTTCGTTAATCAATATGGATATTACACGGCACGTTGGTCCTTGCAAGTAATAAACTATACATTAATAAAATATTTTACAATAACTATAACTTTTAACCCTAAATTCTTGTCCTCGACGAAAAACCACCAGGCTTACGACGACGTTTCCTATGATGGCTTTTTCAATGTACTTACCCTTCCGCGGGAATAATTTCACACGAACTCGGAACTTTTCAACGCATCAGAACCAGACAACTTCGGTCGGCGAAGACTTTAAGGTTCATAAATTCACTTCGATCATCACCACCATATATAAATATGTGTGTATCTAATAAATGTGTCCCAAATCTTAAGATTATTCTTATTTTTTCATTGACGAAACAAAACACGATGAGCACTCACCACCAACAACAACGTTGTTTCCTCTTCCCTCTAACAACGTTACTTGTAGTTTTCCTCAGCATCACAGTTTCACCTGTCTCGGCTCGTCTATTTCCCAACGTGTCCTCAATCCCAAAGTGGAACACCTCCTACGTGCCACCAGCTGGCGCGTGGAACGCGTATCTTAACTACACCGGATGCCAACGCGGAAAAGCCTACGACGGCCTTTCCAATCTAAAAAACTACTTCCACTATTTCGGCTACATCCCCACTGCGCCGCCGTCGAACTTCACCGATGACTTCGACGATGCGCTCGAAGCCGCCATAAAGACATACCAGAAGAACTTCAATCTCAATATCACCGGCGAGCTAGACGACGCTACCATGAAGCAAATCGTGCGCCCGCGCTGCGGCGTGGCCGACGTAATCAACGGCACGTCGACAATGAACTCCGGAAAGTCGAACACAACGACCACGCCGAAGTTCCACACGGTGGCTCACTACTCGTTCTTCGATGGCATGCCGCGGTGGCCGGAGGGGACAGAAGAGCTCACCTATGCGTTTGACCCTGACAACAGCCTAGACGACGTCTCCAAGAGCGTTTTCAGTAACGCGTTTAAGAGATGGGCAGAGGTTACCACAATCTCGTTCCGCGAAACGTCGTCGTACAGGACTGCGGATATCACGATAGGGTTTTATAGTGGGGATCACGGGGATGGTGAACCGTTCGACGGGGTATTGGGAACATTGGCGCACGCGTTCTCTCCCACGAACGGGATGTTTCACCTCGACCAGGCGGAGGACTGGGTGGCCACCGGCGACGTCACCAAGGCCTCCGTGTCCAACGCCGTGGACCTGGAATCCGTGGCGGTGCACGAGATAGGCCACTTGCTCGGTCTCGGACACTCCTCCGTCGAAGAAGCCATCATGTACCCTACGATTACGGCGAAAACGAGGAAGGTGGAACTCACCCAAGACGATATTGAAGGGATTCAGGTTCTCTACGGTTCCAACCCTAACTACACCGTCACCTCTACCTCAGGGAACGATTCCAGTGACGGTGTTCGCCACGTGCGGGCCACGTGCGGCGTGCTTTTTGCCTCTCTCTTGCTCTTCCTAGTATTTGGATTGCACGTGTGATTTTTCTTTGGTTAGTTTTGTACAGAGGAGTGCGCATGATATACGTGCGGACATACATACGGATACGTGTATAGGGTTTCGTCGTCGTCCGTGTACGTACGGTATACTTTGTACCATGTTTTATTAGCATTCTTCATTCTTTCTATTTTTGTTATAGTTTATTAAAGAATAATGATTCACTGAGAGTTAATGAATCTTGCTTTGGATTCTAGATGTGTTTTTAGATTCTACGAGTTAATGAAACTTAACACGCGTCATTGCAATTTATATTGGAAAATTTTTAATATTAATATAATAATAATAATAAATTTTTAATTTTTATATTGATTATTATTTTATTATTACATAGGAGTTATAAGATCAATATTTAAGAAAAGTGACATGTTTTAGTAAAATTATTTTTTTATATATAATTTTTATAAAATATTTTATACTTACTCGGAAATAACGAATGTAGAATATTATGGAATTAAAAATTAATTTTGATCTTTCAATTTATAATTATATCTAGTTATTAAAATATTTTTTAGTAATTTTCTTATATGTGGTATGTTATCGATTTAGTAGTTTTTATTTTTAAAATATCTTTAATGGTTTATTGTAAATGATGTTTCCCGAAATGATCCTTAGAAAACATAATAATTCTCTAATATTTTATATAAAATTATTTTAATAAAAGTATATATGGAAAATTTAAGTTTGTTTTTAAACAAAGCTTTTGCTCTAAACTTGTAATTATTTTTAATAAATGACTAAAAGAAACAATAAGTTCGAAAACATGTAAAGACTTATAAGAATCAAACAAAGAACCTGAAAGTATTATGGAAATATGAAATTTAAAAATTAGCAGATTAAATATAAATAAACAGAAAAAACAGTGCTTCAATTATAAATGACAAGAACCGTGTATGGATGGAAATAAAATAAAAGGTAAGACACATGGACCAGATACGATAATAAAAAAAATTGCTAGAAATGGAGGGGAGACACTAAACTTCATTGATTTATTAATCATGTTCGGAATACACAGAGTAATTTAATTGTTGGGATTATTCGATGGAATCTTTGTTGTTGCTAGTCTCTCTCAAAAGTTTTAACAATTGTATGATTCCAATGATTTATAAGAGTGGGTGTAAATTTTCAGAGCGTGGATTTTTAAGTTGAAAGCTTTTTTTTATAAAGGTCTCTGATAAATGAGTTCAGTTGTGTCAGTGTCACGATACAAGTAAAGTTATTATTGGATGTTCATAGTTAAAAAATATTTTTATTGGATCAATATAGAAGAAAATTACTGATAAAATTATTGAAATTTTAAGTTTGTGTTAAAGTCACCCATTAAATAGAAATAAAAAAATTAAATAAATTAAGAATCATAATTTAATGCTTTAATAATTTAGGTTAAAAATAATATAAATATAATGTGAATTGTAATTATGTCTTATTAATATTATTAATATTAATTTATTATTAAATTGAAGTATTTAAAATAATATCCAATTAATAAACTATAATATACACTTATTTTACTACCATCCATATTTTTATAATTAGTTGAATTTTTTATTAATTATATTAAAATATTTTTTATTTAAATTTTTTAAATATATCATAATAATAATATATTAAATATTTTATTATTTTATTATACTAGACAATAAATAATATTAAAAAATATATAATTTTTGACTTAAATATTTTAATAAAAATCTTATAAATAAAATTAATTTATTATGTTATATATATTTTTTCGAAATCTTTATTTTTCTTTTCGTACTAATTTAAGCATTAATGTTTTTCAGGTGGATTTCACTGTCTTTTTAATACTTATTAGAGTTCGATATAGGAGATTTCATCATGTTTATTTATTTTTCAAAAAATCAAATCTTTATAATTATAATTATAGTTCTAATAATTTTCTCTGTGATTTCCTCTAACATTCTTCGAACTGCATTCTTTCATTCATAAATTACATCGATATATCGGCCAGCCTCGTACAAAGCTGTCTCTATGAAAAAAATTTAAACATAATTTTTCATCATCGATGAATAGTTTATTTCTATTATAAATTACTTCCACAATTTCATTCATGCATTCATATTATTCGATGAAAGTTTTGCATGGCTAACAGTTCTCTATATTAGGTTTGAGTGTGTGTATATTTTTTGTTGTTCATCAAATTCTCATTTTCTTGTTGTACTCTTCTGGCTGGAAAAATATTATTTTTAAATAGCTTGTTAAAAAATATTTCGTATTTAAAAAAAAGAAAAGAAAGCTTTCTCATACCCATTCAATTCATTAAAGAAAATAAAATAGACATATTCAATTACTTTCCATAGTGAAGTAGGCTTACGTTGTCTATATTCATTCTAGGGAAGAAACAATCAATTTTCTTTTCATTTAGTATTAATCACATAAGTTATTAAAAATAAATTATTTTATTCTGTTTTTTTTTTTAATTTTAACTTTAACATTAGAAATTATTCTTTAAAAATAAAAAAATGTTTTATGTTTAATAATGTACGTATTATACACGTAATTGATATGGTAAAATGTATCAACATTTCAGACCTTTTTTAAAAAATTACATGCATTTTTCTTTATCAAGAATAGTTCAAATTTAAGCAATGTTAACATTAAGAGCAACCCATCAATATTCTGTTCATGCTTCTATTGATGATTATATATATAAAAAAATCCTTTTTGAACTTATATAGATAAAATAAAAAAAGTTATTTTGTAATTGTGAAATATGTGAATTTTAATTTTGGTGCTTATAAATTATTTCTCTTTTATTTTTAACCTTTAATCAATCTCTAACTCATTATTTTTGTCTCTTACATTCATTACAAGGTAAACAAATAATATATATTTTTTAATTTAAAAAATAATATAGATGTAACATATTAACATGATACTACCATTGATCGTAATTCAGGATCTATTTAAATATAAAATTTGTTCTCTTCTTCATGATGAAGCCGTGGCCGATTGGCTTACATTGCTCTTTTTTATGAGATGAAATAGTGAGATTAGTTGTTTTAAGTGTAGAGGACCACTTCAAACATTTATATCCTTTCTCTTATATAATTTATCAATCATTTTAATTTTTAGTCATAACTAAAATAAGAAATCAATTAGACATATGAACTAATTATTTTACAAAAACCACAAAGTAATTTATTACAGTAATTAAGCATAGCAAATCACAATAATTAAGAATAAAATATAGAATGGAGAATGAATAACACAAATAAGTAAGAACTATGGTTGACTTAAAATATAAAAAAATATATCTTCTAATTAAATTTTAATATTTACTAATAACTTATATTTCTTTGACTTATTGTACACATTTAAATTTACACAATGTAAAACAAAAAGGCAATGGATTGAATTAAAATATACAACATACCAAAATAACAGCAAAAAAAACTAAGAAGTCAATACGGTCTACTTGTTAATGTCCAAAGAGTTTAAATGAAGAAATAATGTATTATTTTATATTATAAAACTAAAATAATAAAGCAAATTAAAAGGGTAGAACAAATTTGAAACTTAGTGATACTGATCGGCAAAGTTTAATTCATGTCTTATTCGATTCATGAGAAAAGTCTTCTTTTTGAATGAGATTAATTGAATTCATGATTAAAGATCAAGGAAAGTGACATGAGGATCATCGAGAAAGGTTGAGTGTGGGAAATTTTTAATTACTCACCTCCTTTGTGCCCCCAGATTTGTGGAGTTTCTGCATAAACCTCCTCTGAAGGCAAGTTTCTTTCCTCTTTTAGAGGGAAAGAGAAAATTAGATCCTCTCTTACCTTCTCAATGTAACAAATATCAAAAGAAGAAACACAAAGAGAATAGAAAAAGAAAGGCACATATGATGGAGAAATGAAGAGCGACTCATACATATGCCCAAATGTGAACTAAGATCATAACATAAAAAATAAAATATAATTTTACAAATATATTTGTCTTAGGTTTAGGGTTGATGGCATAACAGGTTGGCTATTTGTTACCAGGATATTTTGCACAAAAAAAAGCATGACTAAAAGAGATAATAAATTAAATGTTTGACCTGGAGGAAATTGATATGAAATTTCTTATTTGTAATATTTAGATTTTTTCAAAATTAAAATGGATAAGAACATACGAAGAAGTCAATCATGATATCTCCTCGTGATTGCACCCTGTTTACAGGCCAAAATAGAAACAAGAAGTCCAAAGCAAATACTAATTAAAGCTGATAGGTACAAGCAGTGCAAATAAAGCACTCTATAAAGCTTTGACTTTTGAAATTACTCTTCTGCAAGACCTTCTCAGGTGTATCTATACTATTTTTTTAAGTTATTCATGGAGTATCCCGTTTTTCTTCTGATAAACATTAAACAGTTGTACCCTTAAATTACCAAGAAGTTTCTTGCAAAATATAGGCAATATTTTAACATCCAGTCGAAACAAGTTTATTGATATATTTTACGAAGCACGTCTTTATCAACCTCACAAGATATGTGATTATCACCCTTCATGGAGTTCTTATAAATTCTGGTTTGGCTCACAACTCCTCTCAGACCAAGCAGACATATTAACAAATCCTTGGAGAAAATATGGGATTAAGTGCACAAAGAAGCTTTCTGCTAATTTTAACGCTGTCTTCTTTATTTGTCGATGTATCTGTCTCAAGATCTTTTCCACCAGCCGTTGGATTGGCGATAGCAAGACAAATCCCGTTGTGGCTTAGATCCATCAGATCGAGTAAATGGATTTCCAGAATCTGGAACAAACTGAAGTCATTCATCACGTTCAAGGAGCTAAAGCTTGGAGACAGAGAAGAGGTTTTGTCCTATCTGAAAGAGTATTTAAATATCTTCGGCTACTTAAACTCTACTTCACAGTCAAACTTCAGCGACTACTTCACACTCGATTTCCAATCCGCAATAATCACTTACCAGAAAAATTTCAATCTCAACGTCACGGGGAACTTCGACCGAAACACTAGCAACATGATATCACAGCCACGATGCGGTGTTCCCGACATAATCAACGACACCACCACGATGAACTCGGGCGTGTCCAACACCACGACGTTTAAACCATGGTGGAAAGAGGGAAAGAAGGAACTGATCTACGCAGCTGACCCTGAGAACAACGTCACTAACGGCGTCAGGCTTCTGTTCCGAGATGTCTTCGACCGGTGGTCGAAGGTCACGTCGTTGAAGTTCACGGAGACGACGTCGTTCAATGGTTCGGACGTTAGGATAGCGTTTGTGGCGTTCGATGGAAGAGGTGGAACGGTGGGGGGTGCGGCCACGGACTATAGTCTGGGCGTGGAGAGCGTGTATTTGGACTCCGAAGAAGAGTGGGTGGTGCGTGGTGAGAGCGATGAGGGTGACGTGGACTTGGAATTTGTGATGATGCACGTGGTGGGTCACGTGCTAGTGTTAGGGCATTCCTCTGTGGAAGAGGCCGTTATGTACCCTGTGGTGTTGAAGGAGAAGAAGACGGAGTTGGTGTTCAATGATTTGCAGAGGATTCACCAAATATATGATGTGACCTCTAAATAAAGTGAATAGCAGTTTTTGTTGAGTTATCCTTAGTGCTATAAAAGGAAAATATAGAGTGATAAAAGGAGAATAGAATTGGTTCAATAGGACCCTTTATGAACAAAACAAGTGCATGCGCTTATGCAGACATAAACACGAGATTTACCCACGTTTGGTTGAATAGATTTGCGAAGAAATGCAGGCGAGGAAAAGGGGGAGAGGGGAGAGAGACTTTCTTCGCTAATATGCGAAGAAAAGAGACGAAAGTCTGCTGGAGATAATGAAAAGGCCAACTTACCCTCTTCCGTATGATAGCGGTTAAATCTTAACCGCTATTATAATAGCACTTGTAATAGCGGTTAAAACTTAACCGCTATTATATATCACTTCTAATAGCGGTTAAATCATAACCGCTATTACATATCACTTCTAATAGCGGTTAAATCTTAACCGCTATTATATATCACTTTAGATAGCGGTTACAGAGGAACCGCTATTATATCCTCCAATTATGATCGATCATTTCTTAAATCTAATCGATCAGAATTATATTTCGCTTGAGCGAGATATAGTCGCTCAAGCGAAACACAACCAGAGACTGAAGAAAGTAAAATATGGTTGTATATGATAGCGGTTCTACTGGAACCGCTATCTAATATACACTTTAGATAGCGGTTACAGAGGAACCGCTATTATATCCTCCAATTATGATCGATCATTTCTTAAATCTAATCGATCAGGATCATATTTCGCTCGAGCGAGATATAGTCGCTCGAGCGAAACACAACCAGAGACTGAAGAAAGTAAAATATGGTTGTATATGATAGCGGTTCCACTGGAACCGCTATCTAATATACACTTTAGATAGCGGTTACAGAGGAACCGCTATTATATCCTCCAATTATGATCGATCATTTCTTAAATCCAATCGATCAGGATCATATTTCGCTCGAGCGAGATATAGTCGCTCGAGCGAAAACAACCTGAAGAAAGTAAAATGTTAGGGAAACAAAATTTTAAAATAATTTTAAAATATTATTTCTATATTATTCATTTTTTATTTTCCTTCCTTCTTCATTTTATTTTGCTATTTGATTATTCAATTTTCTGGTTTTATTTTTATTTGACCTATTCACTCTTCCTCTATTCTTAATGTTTGATCTTTCAATTTTTTCCTATATTTAATATTCAGTTTTCTTATCTTCTTTTGCCTAAAATACTCGATCTTAAAAGAAAAAAAAACATTATCTTTAATATTTTAATCTTTTTTATCTCCTATCTTTAATACTCGATTTTCTCTATTTTAATGTTTTATAAATCTTATTTATGTTTGATTCAATTTAACTATAAAATTTAAATCTAATTAGAACAAAAATACCAGGAAGGATATAAATATAGGACCAACTTACTACTGAATATTGAAAAAAAAAGAGACTAACTTCACTATTTTATCTAATTCCTATCGCTGTGTTATTATTTCTTCATTAAACTCGTTTACTTTTTGAACAATTTTCAAAAACTTATAATTTTTTTTAAAATCTTATAAATCCAAAAAAATTAAAATCCTTCTAAATTATTGTAATCTCATTAAGATTGAAACTATAAAATCTCAGCAATATATTTTATAGAAGTTGTAAAATTTGTATACGATATTTTAAAATTCATTAAGTTTTTTTAATGTAAAAAATAGTATTTTAAAGTCCAAGTGCAACACACACTTATATAAAATTGCAACTTGAAAAGAGAAACCGACTTCACAGGATAGAAGATGAGGACACCTCATCCAAGAGGGTTTATTTTTCATAGAACGGTCGATAACCTATTATACAATATAATATTATTTTAAATATTTTAATCATTAATATATTATATTATATTATATAATACAGGTTATATACAAACAACCTAATACACCAATTTTAAAAGAATACATGTTCTTTAAACAAAATTGTATAGATATAAGTAAAAAAAATATTTAACAAATTTATATAAACTAAAATTTCAATTAACTCATTTTTTTCATATTATTTTAAATTTTTAAGTATGGATATGAATTTTAATAAAATAATATAAATTATGTATATTTTGTTTTATGAAAATAAAAATTTTAAATTTAAATAATATCCTTAATGACTATATATTATAAATAAAACATTAAAATATCAAAATGTTAAATAATTTTAAATATTAAAATTAACTTTATCAAAAATTAGGGAAACAAAATTTATCCAAAAGAGTTCAAAATGTATAAGAGTATTCTCAATTTTGAGTTTAATTATATTATTAATTTTTAAAGTAGAAAATTATATTGTAATTATTTTATCTCAAGTTAATGTGATGAGATGATCATCAACATTTCAACATTCGAGTCAGATATATGGGACATCTACGTCTCTCCCAAGTTGTTCATGTTCTTGAGTGGAAGTGATTGAATGATCTGAACTGGAGGACTTGACTGCAAAAGATGAATAACATTATAATTATTTGTTTGAAGAGCATTAGTGTGCATAGGTTTATAATTTTAGTAATGTTTCATTTAATTATTATTCTATTTTCACTGTATTTTATATTTGTTTTAAATAATAATGTACAATTATATTATTAGTTTTCATAATTATTTGTTATTATCAGATCAATATTAATTATTATTTTATATTTTATAATTATTTAATTATTAGTCAAATAATTTATTTAATATGTCAACATTATTTGAATATGGATATGCAATGTACATAATTTTGTAATTGTTTATTTATATAATTTTTAATAACTATCTAAAAAAAGTTAATTTTTTAAATTTGTTTCCAATTACAAACACTTTTTATTTTGTTTTTCTTTTAAATATATAATCAATGTTAAAATATGGATAATTAATTAAAAATTTATATTTATAATCATTTGAACCTTATTTTATACTAAGGGTAAAATGGTAATTTTCTTAAATAATCAACATAAAATTTTAACTTTTATATCTCATATCAATCAAATCATTCACAATTTCCCATAAACATTCCTTTCACTTTTTAATCATCTCCATTTCTCTTCAAATCCCTCCTTTTCCACTCTCTCATTTTCACTCTCTCAAATCACTCTAACCAAACAAGGGGTTAGTGTGTCTAGTGCGTTGTTATTGCTTAGTTACCTTTACAATTATAATGAAATTATTGTTGTTTTGAAATTAAAAGATGTTTTATTATTAGATTGTGTAAAAACAGTGGAATAAATGTTAAGTAAGATTGTATTATTTTTCACCTGTCCATTTGAAATTTAAATGATTTTCATAGATGAAAAATAAAAATAAAAATACATACGTACATACTCTCTAAATTGCAAACATCCATTTCTTGTCTTTGTCAGACTTTTTTTTTATTAAGTATCAAATAATAAAGTAATATGTTTTTTTAATAAAATTATTATTTGACAACCCAAATCATGATTTTTTTTTATTGTTTTGTAAGTTATGCATCACCACACAAATAAAAAAAAATCATACATTCATCCAAAAATAATTAAAAAAATTATTTTTCTTTGTTGTGTTTCTTTTTATTAAATATTAAATAATAAATCATTTTATTATTATAAATCACGTGATTAGATATTTATTAAGTATGTTTTCTTATGTATAGACACTCTTAAATGATTGAGATATGATTAAGTTGTTATTCATCTACTACAAAATCCATATAGACACTCTTAAATGATTAATGATGGATGAATTATCATCTCGGCGTGAAGGATAAAAATATGATCTTTTAGTAATCATTCTTGCTAGATGATAACACAGGTCGACCAGTTTTGTTTTTGTTTGTATTTGACCTATAAAAAATGGGACGCGTTGACCCACATGAAAGGTGTGAATTGAAAACTTTGGTTTGTTTTATGTAAGGGTAGACTACGCGGACGTGTATTTCTCTTTTTGTTGTTGTTTTAAGACTTTGTTTGAAGGAAATAGAAGAGGTTATCATTTACATTTACATTGTTGTAAATCTTCCGTAAAATAAATATTGATAATACCCTTTATTGAAGAGATTTTGTATAATATGAAACAAACACCAACAAATTAAATTGGTAACATAGACTGAGTAAATTTTCTTATAATATGACTTAGTAAGAGACACGGTTGACACAACTCTGTTTATATGAGAATCTAAAAAAGACCAAGTATAGTATAAATATACGTTAATGATATTATGAATGTATATAAGAATTTCTTAAGACTTATGTGAATATAAGATGAACATAACAGGTGAACTGAAATTCTTATTTAGACTTTATAATTCGAAGTAGACTAAACATAGAATATATATTCATCAAAAGAAATTAATATGTAAAAAGAAAAACTGCTAAAAATAAATAAATTCAATATAGACAAGCAAATACATGAGTCTCCGATGAATTCATCAACAATTCTGACAAAAGATGAACAGAGTAAACGGGTGAATCAAACTATATATTATAAAGGAGGTATGATTGACTTTCTTCTTGACTTTACTACTAGCATATTTGTGTTTGTCTGTGAACACAGTTTCATTAAGACCATAAAGAATCTCATGTGAAAGCTATTAAGAGAATATTGGATGAGTTGGTGTAATGATTAAAATAAGTTTTATTTGGAGTTGGTTAACAAAGAAAAAAGAGAGACATAAAATAGATTAAAAAACATTGATGAAAATAACATATAAATGAATGAAAATACTTATTTAAAAAAACAATTAAATTAAAATTAAATTTTTATTTAAATATAAAATTATTAATTAATTTTTTATTAATATTTTTTAAATAATACTTTAAAATTATTTTTAATAATATATATTTTAATATATAATTATTAAATATTTAATTAATTTTTTACATTTTTAATTTGAATTAATAAAGTAATATTATACTATAAAAAATGGAAAAATATATTAAATAATTTATTTATTTTATAATATTTTTATATTTATGATATTTTATTAAAATAGTAATTATATATAAGAAAATATGAACGACAAAACTTTTTTAAGAGAAGGGTGAATTGAGTGTTAAAATATCTTTTGAATTTCTAATAAATTATTATAAAACTTTATCTGATAATCAATTTTAAAAGAATTATCACAATTTTTAGAGAACAAATACCAAGATAAGGAGAAGAAGAAAAGATACTTAAATTTATATTGGTTTGATTCTTCTTGAATCTACATCTAATTTTAATTAAACAACATTAGCCTGAAGTTTTTCACATTAAAACATACTACAACATAATCAAATGACTTTAATTTACAACAACCTCTAATAAAGATCACAATACTTAAAAATGTTCTACCTCACAATTTTTAAGTTACACTAATGTAGGTAGCTAGCTTTGCATACATCAAAATTTAAAACAAGATATAAAAAAAAAAGATATGAAACGAATTCACCTTGGATTTACGTATTAATGCACCTTATAACCAAACAATCTTTCTTTAAAATTTAATCTTCAAAATCTTTTACAGAATTGCACTCTTTTCTTCATACCCAAAATGTTCTTTCTAATTGCTTTAATTTGTATTTGAAAGATTGATTTTGATAGAAGAAAGTTTGCATCATTTTATAAAAAGAAAACTATTTTAATTGTCATAGATAATCGATTAGCAGATTTATCTAATCAATTATTTGAGTGCAGTGATAGTTTGAAAATAATCAGATAATCGATTATTACTGCATTTTGTTAAAATGAAATTTTTGGTAATCGATTAAGTAATCACATAATCGATTATTAGCGTGTCTTATGAAAACTTAATTTTAAGTCATATAATCGATTAATTATTTATCTTGTTATGCAAAGGGTACTTTTGACCCAACTAAAGGGCAACTTTTGGCCCATGACAATAACCGAAAAGATGTTAGGCTTTGGCTCTGATACCATGTTAAGTTTCCAACATAAAACCAATTGACAATATGTGGAGTATTCTAACATGTATTTAAACCATACCAAATGATATGAGGTAGGCGATGTGGAACTTTCAACATATCTAATCAATTATTAGTGTATTGTGTTAAAACAAAATTTTTGGCAAATAATCGATTAAGTGACCACATAATCAAATATTAGTGTGTCTTATAAAAATTTAATTTTAAGTCATCTATTAATCTTTTATCTAATCGATTATTAACGTTTTAATTTTAATATAATTAATTAGTTATTTAAATCAAATTAATTATTTAATTTTAAGTAATATAATCAATTAAACATTTATGTATCAGAGTCACAGTAGTTTTAGTCATTTAAATCAAATTGATTGTTTTAAAGAAAGGTATCGTTCTTGTAATTGATGGAAGGAGTAAACTGTAGCCATACAATTTTAGCAGAAAACTATAATATTATTATATTTTGATTCGATGTGAAATTTATATCTTTTAAGATGATTGTTAGCACACTCCTCCCTTGGTTGAAAAAGATTTTTTTTAGATTATATCCTTTGACATCAAAGATGAGTGAAATTAATAATATGAGTGGTTCATTCTAATAACTATTAATGAATAATGTTTAAGATGGTTAGAATTGATTTTAAAACATTTTATAAATAAAAAAAGTTAACTTAATCTTACTAAAGTAAAATTTATCCTCAATTATATACTATCCTCTACTATCCTAGGCCATTTGGAATTTCAACGCAACATCAGAGGAGAATTTTTTCATATCGTAGTGTATCCAATTCAAAGATATTTATTTTATCACATCTCATCACAACCTTATACAGAAATTTTATTTTGATAACTCTTTTATATAAACATCCATTTTACAACTCTTTATATATATATATATATATATATATATATATATATATATATATATATATTATTTATGATTTTATTATTATTTATGATTGTAGAATGGAGCGATGGATGTCAATATCTACACCCAACTTACAAATCCACGACACAAACAAACGTGCAAGTGCGAGACGTACGAGGAAACATAATACCCAAGAAGCACATAAGTAAATCCGAGAGATATAATGGTCATTAAAAGCACTCCCAAACACCCACCATCGCCAGAATTGACGTTAGCATTCTGATTCATAATGTTGTTCTTGTCGGAATTAGAGAGGTCTACCTTTCGTTGCTGTGATGGCAATATATAAGGGTACATAACAGAGTCATTCATGGAAGAGTGATCAAGTCCCAGTAAATGCCCTATCTGATGCATGGCCACACTCTCCAAGTCCAAAACTCCATCCTTCCACGACAAGCTGTCGTTTTCACTGGGCAGAGCCCAGTATATGGACCCATCGAGATGTATCTCCCCTGTCTTCACGTTAGAAGGAGGTTTCTCCCTTATAAAGCTGACTCCAAACGCGTCATAGTCAACTACGGCACTGATATTGTAGAATCCAATCTTAATGTCCGCATCATCGTAGGTCGTTGCCTTCGTGAAGTTCAAAAACCCTGTGGCATGCGCCCACTGCGTGAATGCCTCTCCGAACACTTTCGTGGTGTTGTCTGGGATTTGACTTGCGAGAAGAAAAGCGTACGTGAGGTTTCTCTTTTGGAACCACCGGTTACCGGCTTTGGGCCACGACACGTTCTGAGTGAAGTCGTAGTCGAAACTCATGTCGGGGACAGCACATCGTGGACGCGAGATTAGTTGCAATGTCTCGTTTGTTAGGTAGCCGTTAACTTGGAGATTGAAATATTGCTGGTATCTTTTGATGGCTGATTCAGTTTTCTGGTCCAAATAATCGTCTATTTGTTCAGATTGGAGGTAGCTGAAGTTAGAAAAGTAGTCTTTGATTCGGGACAAGCCTTTGATTTGCACCGGTGGTGCGTTAGGAGGTTGCGCAGGAAGGTTTTGTTGGATAATAGCGTCCAAGATGTCACCCACCCATTTTGACTTGAATGGATTTCCCTTGGGCCACTTGAATCCGTTGGGGATGCCCTTAGGAGGAAGTAAACCAGCCTTAGCGGAAAGGGATTGGTCGAAAAAGAGAAGAAATAATAGGAATGCAGAAAGGTTTGGTTTCATCTCAATGGATAAAGATTCTTGGTCGATCAGAAAAGTTTGTGTCTATGCACAAGAGTTGAGGAGTAATATATATGGTGGAAGGTGAGGGATGCGAATTCCACATTGTAGGTTGGAAATTCAAGTGTTCGAAGTGTTATATTCACTAGAAATAAAAAAAATTAAGTAATTTATAAACGATAAATATCTATAATCTAATAAAGATAGTATCATGGTATAATTATTTCGTATTTCGGTGAAAATTTTCCCGTAAATAAATTAAAAATCATCCAACATCATTTTACATTTAGGGTCAATTAATAACTTGTGGAATGGTGTCAATTTTTTTAGTATTGAGTAAAGTTCATGGAAGTTTAGGATTCAGGACATCGATTGGTAGATTTAATCATTCAATGGACACTACATTTCTATTCAACAATAAGATCATTTTCGAATCCAAGACAAAAGAAAAAAAATGAAATTAATAACTCCCTCACAACGACTTACTCTCTATCATCACTTGAGTGTTCATTGCAATATCAATTTAGGCAGGTTATATCTAAACCATGTTGTTAAATTTATTTATATGGCGGATATATTCTATTTAAAATTTTGTCAAATTGTGTATCCAAGAAAATGTCAAATTAATTAGACACGCAACACTCTTTTCTCATCGCAATAAAATGTGATCCTCATATCCAGATATTCCATAGAATTTAGAAAGATATATAACACCCTAAGACCAATTCCAATTGAAGCGTGATCATGAAGTACACAGAAAATATAAATTAATATAGATGTAAGGAAGAGAGATAAAATGAAATTATATATAAATATTGGTTATGTTTAAAAATAATTTTCGTGAGATTTTGAGAAATTTTAGCTTATATTTGGATTCAAGAGATGAATTAAGATAGTGGAAAAGGAAAAAATAATTGAAAAAGGAGAAAATATAATTATTTTAATTAAATAATAAATAATAAAAAAATGAATAAAAAGATAAGAGAAGATAAGATTGATTTCAATCATTAATTTTTTTTTAAATAATATAATAAATTGATGAGTAACCAAAATAAATTTATCATAATTCTAATAAGAATAAAATAAATTAAATTTGATATATAATTTAATATGAAATAATTATTTTAAAAAATTAGATAAAAGTTATATATAATAAAACTAATTTGCATATAAATTATAAAAAAATTGTAATATTTTGAAGACATATTTTAATTTTGTTTTATTTTTATAATAATTTATAGTAATATTAAAATTATAGAAATTTGTTTAAAAAAGTTATAAACACATTAATAAAATTTTTGAGCTAATAATTTTTTTCTTATAAAGGTATTAGAATCTTACATACTTTTCGTCTCTCTTGAATTGATAATAATTAAATCTCACTCTAATTATCTTTTGTGTCGATCTAAATATTCACCTTTGTGGTTACGGAATTTGATAGTGAAACCTAAGAAAACCTATATAAAGATAAATCACATAATTGATTATTGATTCCTTATAATTGATTGTTAAAAAAACATATATTCAATTAATCAATTATATATCTCATGTAATCATCACTTTCATTCTTTTCACAATCATTTTTTTTCTGCTTAATAAAACTCTTCTCTACTCATGATTTCCCTGAACCAAAAACACTTCAAAATTTTCTCAATTTATAACCTCATTACATACGAGTAAATATGTTCCAGGTGTAAGAGAGACTTTACTTCCATTATAGCTGACTTTCAAGTCATTTCTTCGTCAATTGGGAGGTGATATAGAACTTGGGAGTCCCATATCAATTTCTTTACGAACCAGCATTAATACATAGAAACAAACACAAGTTATTCTTGCAAATTCATGTCCGTACTTCTCTGTGAATAATGGAATCCCTGAAACAAACAAGACTTTACTGACTTTCTTGGTTAAAATACAAAATTTAAATGAATATATATATATATATATATATATTATGAAAATAATCTTAAAGATATTTGAATAATAATTCTAGAAATTAATAGAAGGGGAAGCTAATTAATTTTTTACATAATTCAGAAATGGTTACCAGTTATTTATAAATATTTCATTTACTGAATACAATATCTAAATAACAAAACATAAGTCATTGTGTTTACTTTTATCTCACTTATATAATAATATTCTGCTAACTGTTTGTACAATAATCACAATTATAACATCACTCAGATGCCATAATAGAAATAAAAAGATATTTATATATATATAATTACGCTAAATTTTTTATCACAATAACAGATATAGATGTCAGATTTCAGCACGTTTCTTTTAAAGATTCCGCAGATCCACCACCAAATTCACTTTCATTCAAACCATTGTCTCAAATCCACTCATCACCATCCAATGCCCCATATTAATCTCATGAGATTGTTGTTCAGAATTTAGAAAAAACTCGAGGATGTGCCTGAGCTAAGCTTTCCTCTGTTAACCAACTACCCAACCAAAACATTGTTGTTCTACCATCTCCAAGCTCCACGCTACCATCTTTTCGATCCGTTTCAATTGCTATCAGCGTCATAAACCCTAATTCCCTCTAGACGCAGACTTACCAACGTCCCCACCAAACCTCCTCATATAAGATTAGTTCATGAAGGTTAGGTTAGGTTAGGACGTTGGTAAGAGGGAAGGTTTCAATGAATAGTCCTGCTAAAGGTACTGGCCGTATTCTTGTAAATCGACATGAAAAAAATTCAACACTAGAAAAGCATATTGGGTGCTCTAAACTATCCAATTTTTTAAACTGATATATATTTTAGATGTTAATTTTCGTAAGAGCAATCTTTTTGGAGTTATGTGGAGGCGATTGGGATTGTAGTATGAACATACATGATGACTAACTCTTGTCTTGAAAAGAAAATGTGGAGGCCATTTGCCGATGTGAATTCTGAAAATTTTCCTTTCAAAACTTGAAATCTTGTCATTGATTCTATCAATGAAAATATTGGCATCTTGGAAAGGAAGTATATTTGGCAGTGGAAGGATTGTTTTGATAAATTAATTATGTCTTATCAAGCCGGCCTTTATATTTCTTAGCATTTTCCCAAGAAGCAAAAGAAAGTCCTAAAAACAATATTGGGATTCAAAGATCCTTCTTGGTTATAGCCTAGAGGTGTCAATAAAAAAGAAAAAAGTTAAAGGGTGAGAAAAAGTCCATAGGATAAAGTCTAATGGATGGGAATTAAAAGCCTGGAACTTTTTAACTATGTGGAAATGCTATTTGTTCATATACTTTAAGTTTATAATCATGCTTTTATTACGAATAAAATAATATTCTAACAATTGAATAAACCATATTTCTTATACACTTTTAAACTATATTTTCATATTTACGATATATTATACCGGCTAATTTAAAAGATTAACATTTTCATAAGTTAAAATTAATTTATATAAAAAAATTTAAAATTGAATATATATATATATATATATATATATATATATATATATATATATATATATATATATATATAATGAGAGAGATTATATAAGAAATTATTTGTGTGTGCCTGTGGTGTGTCGTTTTTGTGTCTCTATGTGTTGAAGACACTCTTTATTGCTATCACTCCACATTGATACCCTTTCTCTTGGATTTTATTTTTTTTCATCCAAAATTTTGTCTGATTGAGATTATTCTTATTCGTAGGACTGTAATTGTTTAAGAACCTGACGAAATTTTTACATAATTAATATCTAATAATACAGATTTTCTGCTCCATACATCGTGTCACAATGTTTGTATATTGGCAAGTTATACCGAAGCTTCTTCTATATATTATTGGTCAACTCTTCTGCTTAGATTCAATAATTTCTCCATATGTATAAATTATGACATCATGTGTAAATGGAGAGTTGCTCTTTCTTTCAATAAATGTTCGGAGGATTAAAAAAATTGAAACACTTCATAATACAATAATAACTAGCAGATTATTAACACTACTACAAAATATACTTTTTACGTCGTCATTTAACGTCGGTTATAGCTGAGACTGAGACGACGTAGAAAGTACTTTCTACGTCGGTTCCCATATGAACCGACGTGGAAAGTCTTTTTTTTATTTTTTTCAGCCAAAAACTCACTTAAATTTGAAAATTATTATCGAGTAAGATTTGAACCCGAGTACTTTAGAGTTGCAAGTCGATACTCCAACCACTAAACTACTAGAATTTTTTGATAATAACTTACAAATAAATTATATTTATATACAAATAAATATATATCCATGTAAATATATATTTATTTGTATATATTTTCTAGAAAGTATTTTTATTTTTTTTTCAGTCAAAAATTCTCTTAAGTTAATGAATTGTCATCGATAGCATTTGAACTCAGTATTTTAGGATTGAAAGTTAATATCTCAACCACTAAACTACTATAATTTTTTGATAATAACTTACAAATAAATTATATTGGTATTTTTCGATCGAGGGTGAAAGTGTGATTGACTCTTGCTTGAGTGAAAATATGTTAAAGCTCACGGAAATTCACTCACTCAAGTCTCGCTTGAGCGAAAATTGGTATTTTTTGCTTGAGAGCAAATAATGCGTTTTCCAAATTTATTTTATATCATTATATAAATAAAATTATAAAGATTATATTACGTCATTAAATTACAAACTCATATAAAGATACTTGCTCACAAATTTAGCATCAAATTTTGAAAACCCACTCGACACACACTTTCACTTTCGAGTGTGCCCTCACATCCAACATATAAATATATAACTATATAAATATATCAAAATATATAAATATATTTGTATTTATATATTTACACGGATATATATTTATTTGTATATAAATATAATTTATTTGTAAGTTATTATCGGAAAATTCAAGTAGTTTAGTGGTTGGAGTATCGACCTCCAACTCTAAAGTACTGGGTTCGAATCCTGTCAATGACAATTCTCTTAAAAAATTAAAAAACTTCTAAAAAATATAATATATAGAGATGGAGGACCTAATAAAAATATAATATAAAGAGAGG